AATTACCCTGCGGAAATTACCCTCTAGGACAATCACCCTCGTATGTGTGTGTGTGTGTGTGTGTGTGTGCGTGCGTGTGGGGGGGGGGGGGAAGTCGCACATAATGATATCTTGTCTTTTGGTAATTGTCTTACGGGGGTAGTTGTCATGGGGGGGGGGGATGGTGTATTGTCCCAGGGGGTAATTTTCCTCGGGGTGGTTGTTTGGGGTGGTTGTCTTTGGGGGGGGGGGGGGGAGTAATTTCTGGGGGGTAATTTTTCCGGGGGTAATTGTCTACGGATTTTTAGACCTCGGGGGCTGGTTGTCATGGGGAGAGGGGGGGGGGGGTAGTTATCCAGGGTAATTGTTCTTGGGGGTAATTTTACGGGGTGCTTGTCTAGGAATTAATTGTCCTGATACGCCTTCAATACGTTAATAAAAGAGCAGTAATATGAAATAAGATAAAAAGTGCTATCCGCCACTTTGATCTTTCATGCATATGTATAAACTTATTGATACTATTATGGATATTAAAACTTACAAAGGCGAATTATACAAAAAAGGGTACTGGTATTCGTAACAGTAGTAGAAGTAGTAATAGCATCAGCAGCAGTGAAAGTAGTAATAGTATCAGCAGCAGTGGCAGTCCTAGTAGTTGTAATAGCTGTATTATTATTCTTACTACTACTACTACTACTACTAGTAGTAGTAGTAGTAGTAGTACTAACAGTAATAGTAACAGTTCATGGAAGTGAAGGTATTATTATTATTATTATCAGTAGTAGTAGTAGTAGTAATAGTATCAGTAGTAGTAGTCGTAGTAGTAGTTGTCGTAGTAGTAGTAATAGTAGTAGTAGTATTAGTAATGGTAAAGTAGTAGTATACGTAGTAGAAGTAAAATAAGTAGTAGTGGTAGTAGTAGTAGTAGTAGTAGTAGTAATAATGGTAGTAGTAGTGGTAGTAGTAGTAGTAGTAGTAGTAGTAGTAGTAGTAGTAGTAGTAATATTCCGCTTTTACCACAAAGATACTTATGATTTTCTTTGAAGGCTTCCCTGTGCGACACCCTCTAACAGTAAATTCTCCCAACAATTTTTTAATTTTCCCAACCATTTTTTCATGAAAATAAGACATAAGACAGACTTTAAAAAATCTTTCAACACTTAAAATAATGTCTGGAATGGTATATCGAGCCAATTCATTGCTTTGTGACGATTTACATTCACCTGAGATGTAATTAAATTGTAATAATAATAGTTGAGAGAATTAAGGAATCGATCAGATCAGTTTTTCCCAATTTTTATCCTTAACAATGGTCTGTTTTCATTTAAACTTCAGGTTATCTTTAATTGTACATTTAGCATTGAAGTCACTACCTTAGCAACATTTTCTCTCATATGAACAATGTTGAAAAATAATTATGAATCTTAGGTTTCCCATTATGTATATATTGCAATTATTAAGCAAACACAATTTATGCCTGTTTTTGGAATTTTCAAGCCATATTTCATATCAACTGCGAAAAAGGGACATTTTTGACAGAAATGAGACCATGCAGTCGCCTTGATCTAAAATCATGCAGCTATCGTTCAAAAGTATTTATAAAGTAGAAAACTCGGAAATATAAGTATTTAGGGTATGATATAATCATTCTGATTTGGTGAAAATTCCCTATCACCATTTTATGTTTATGAGAGACTCATTTCTATTGGTCATTGCATAAACACGTGACGCATATCTAGAGAAGATGTGAAACGAGTAAAGTTTCCAATCTCACCAATAATGATTTTGATATTTGGTCAAAATGTAGATATTGAATCAGATTTCCAAATAAGTAATCTACATTATGTTATTTTCAATAAGGCAGAGTCAATTTGATACCATTTTTCATGCTTCGAAAACCTCATATCACCCCGTCACCCTCATGTACCCTCATAATCACCTGTTCTTAAAGATAAAGTTGAGTTCTGGTCATGTGATTGCATTGTGAAAGAAACGGGGTGGAATCGATCAGAAAATGTTGATCATTTAGCAGGTAAGTATTTGTGTGTATTGCAAGGTTCTGGAATCTTTAAAATGATAAGAAATTTGGCCCAGTCTTGGTAAAGTTACAAGCACTGTACACAGAAAGATGTATATGGGACTAGACGAACACGTGGCATAAGAATCCGTCCCGATTTGTACGATGTTACATGCCATATTTAAAATATTAAGGCACTTGAAGAGCCATGCTTTCCAGGGAACATGTTTTATCAGATGTTCTTTCACCCTTGTATAATAACAATGATAACGCTCACAAATTATTTTTCGCCTCTTCCCAGAACTCAACCTTCTCTTTAAAGCAAACCTATGATGGCGCCATAACTGTTCGTAAAAGCCTCAGGAATAGGTTCCGTGAAGTATTCCTTTCCAGCCTAGCGGAACTGCCAGTGGCAGTGTCAGCTCTCCTCGCCTACGTACCCACGTTCGAACACCGACTGACGTTTGTCTTTTGGACGGTGACGTAGTACTTAAATCTTTCACATCAGTACACAGTTTGTGATTTGGATAATAACTTTCGATTCAGAGCCCTACCAATTACGCCCAAGATTACTAGCGCTGGGCGCATCTTCAGATATGGCATAACGTACTCCTATTGGTTGACCTACTTATCATGCTGATTTAAAATAGATCTTGATTGGTAGGGTCCATAAAAATGGGCGTGTCAAAGATATAGTAGAGGTGGTCCTTCACGAGATAATATAGGGATAAAATGATTTACAGAATACCAATTACCAACAGTAATAGCGCTGTATCATTTATCTGTGAAAGATACAACAAAAGATAACACAAAACTTACAACAATTTTCAAATACTGCCCCTAATTGATACACGTCTGTAATTACCTAATTCCACTTACACACGAGCACCCTCACAGAAACTTAATACATAGAATGTTAGGGGACAAAGTTACGAACATGTATTGTCAGATGTATGATACACAATAGAGTTATGTCTTGCTTTGACATGTAATCAAAAGCAGATACAGAAAAACGTATAGAAAAGAAATTTCGAAGCAGTTTGTCTAACATAATTTTATTGTGATAATCTCACTTTTCATATTTACACGTACAACCAAACAGAGTTATCAAACACCACGATGAACTCGTCACACGATGAGCAACAAACCGAACTTTGCGAATTTCGTCCGACTCTCCATTAGTTCATGAATTGAAAGAAATTAAATAGAAAAGCAATACCAGTCTTACAAAATGAGAATCGATGTCTGTTACGGATTTACGAAATCTGGGCCCTGGTTAAAAAAACACGTTACCATTAAACAAATTGTAAATTGCTATGACAAATTTGCTCTCATCCAATCAGATGCCACGATTTCAGGAGCTTATAACAGTTATACTAACTTGTTACTGATGATAATTTTTGTGAAACAGGGCCCAGGTTACTTAGTGTGCACATCCAGTGATGAAAAAACGACAATTAAGGCATTTCATTGACATCCAGACGTGATTGTACGAAAGAAAGAAGTAAAACTTCAGGGTGAATTTATACATATTTTGTATATGCTTGTATGACCTTTTGCCTTTTGAATAGCAGTCGAAATAAATCATCACATTTTTTTCAACATCAAAATATGTGTCATCGTTTGATATTGTTTTTAAATGTTCACACATGATTTTGTCCGACATTCGTTCTAAAAACATTATTCCTGAAACATGCACAGTGTACAAAATTACACGAGTAAACACATTATTATATTGCCCACGTGAAACTGATCCATGTTGTCTTTTAAGAAGAAAAGAAAAGTGCATTGGGGAATACTCTTGGACGCATTTAACTGTAATTAGTCACAAAAGTATATTAGTGAAAGAAAGTGCTATAAAATATTACGGGTTGATAATCTTGATATAAATGTTAATTCTTTGCAAGCCATGGCAAACCTTTAAATAAAATTAAGTCAGACACATTTCACCCTTGAAGGGAGCTTTTCACTCTCATTACGGATTGTGTGAGTTTGCCGAGTTTGGCTCGAGACATGCACCGAGCAGGACCCGAGCTCTACACGAGGAGAGCCGAATCAGCTCGGGCCCCAACTCGTCAACTTTTCCAGTGAGCCAAAATATTTGAAGGCGTTGAGCCACGAATTGAACGTATTCCTTGAGCGCAAGAAAAATAGTCATCAATATTTTGTAACAACTCTTTATTTTTGAGCTGAGGAGGCGGGGGGGGGGGGGGGGGGGCACCAGTGGCGGTTCCAGGATTTCACGATAGGGGCCCGTTGGGTGCCTAAAATTCGAAAAAGTTTTTTCTTTTTGTTTGCCCCCGGAAATTCGGGGCCGTCGGCCCCCCCCCCCGTAAATCCGCGCCTTGGGGGGGGGGGGGGGCGAGCACATACAACTTAACTGATTTCATTGGGGGGGGATCTCCATTGGACGAAAAAAAACTCCCATTAAAGCCTCTCTAAAGTGTTGGGAGCTCCGAATTCACCACAAATTTGATGGCAAAATTTCACTTAAATTGTATCATAATGTGAAAGAGAATGTCAATTAAGAGACACTTCTGCAAAGACCCCCCCCCCCCCAAAAAAAAAAGAAAAAAAAAAAAGAAGAAGATGTGTTTGAAGACAAATATTGATAAAAGAATACATAATTGTTGCAGAAAACCTACATTTTGTATTCTTTCATCAATATTCGACATTTGTTTTGGAAAAAAAAAAAAAAAATCCTTGCAGAAATGTGGCTTGAATGACATTCTCTTTCATTCTATGATACAATTCAAATATAAGCGAATTTCGGGGCTCCCAACACTTTAGAGGGGGTTTTTGTGGGCCACAATGTAAATATTATTGTTTTCATACCCGTTCCCTCACCTTTGAAACGAAAGTAAGCATGATGATTATTAGCATGATCAAAGGGATAAAATGGCTCAAATCATCAAAACTGTGCTTTGTATTTTATTTCAAGGATCGTGATCTTCTTGCGGGTATATATTTTTTAATACTTTTTTTTTTGGGGGGGGGGGGGTAGTGTTTTTTATTATTCGGTACTTATCAGAGTTACAATCCTAAGAAAGGTCAGCCTTTTCAATATATTTTCAAATAAGACGCATTCACGTAAAAGTATTTGGTGTATGCTACCTATATACAAAGCATGTACCGTAAACATTCTTAAAACCTACCAATAAAAAGACGCAACAATGATATTCGGAAAATAAGGACCAGAATGAATCACACAGAGAGTTCACCCGTAATACCGTAGTACGCGGGGCACTGGTCGTATGCTCTTTCGTCCGTAATACCAGCAGTGATTGGATTACGTCTCCTCGGTCCTATTCTGGCGGTGTCCTGGGTGAATGCCAGGCAAGAGCGGCTGGGATCTTCAACAACTGATTCTGGATTATAGAAAGGCATTCTGTCATATGGATTCACGCCGGGATTCACGGGTCCTTCTGTTGTGTAAGAAAATGCAAAGAAAACACCACGTAATGGTACGCATAATAGTGGACGTTTTATCCTGCTATCGGACCCCTCGGTAGAGCGCAGCTCGGGGTCATAGCTGGATGTAACGTCCCCTTGGGCCTATAGAAGCAACTTTGCCTTTCATAGCAGTCAATATATATATATATATACAACAATTTTTTCAGAATACCATTTATCTTTTCATAATTATCTTCAATGCGCATATGCAAATGAGGATTAAGCGCCATTGTATTAATAATACGCTCATGCGCACTAAAGTTTGAGAGCAGGCAAAGGGATCAAAGAAAAGATACAATAAAAGTTTTAGAAAAAAGTTGCAACAATTTTCATACTTTACATCAATATTAGAGATAAAAACAAGTTCATAATACCGTCCCAGGATTAGGCTTGAGCCTCCTCCCCCCTGTAGAATCGCTACTGAGAATAGGTCAATACGCTTACAAAAAAAAAAAAAAAAAAAAAAAAAAAAAAATATCCCCATTTTGATTCAAAACAACTCATATTATTATAGCGCTTTCATTCTGTGAAACAGAAAAACTATTTAATTCGGTAAAAAGATGAAGCATTAATTAGGTAAAGAGATGAAGCCAACCGTTGGAAATTAGGAACAGCTGCATCATTCACCTCATGAAGTTGTTACAATCTTACGTATCTTATGTTGACGTGCAGTTAATTTGGGGGTTTGTCTTGAATGATACAGAACCTAATCAATCCATGAAAAAAATGAGGCGTAACGTGTCATGGCGAAACTCACCTTCAACTGGACAAGGATTCGTGTTGCATTCTGATGAATACATTTGCTCGTCAGGGCACCCGACCCTGATTCCGCCGCCTTCGTCAATGCATCCCCGCCATTGCATCGTATTACCACCGGCATCGCAGGTCTTGCTGCACGGCCAGGGTGACCAAGTCTCGACCCGCACTGGTGCCACAGGACCACCCTGAAGTCCAAGGATTGGGTTTGGATGTTGAACTGGAAGACAACCTGGAGGCGGCCTGCACCTTTTGAGCTTCACGATGCCGATGCCGGTTGTTTGCTTTCGATCAAAGCAGGCCATCTCGTGCCCCGGACGGCACATCCGACTGCGACTACGAAAAGCATTACTCCCGCACGGACACGTATCCCAGTTAGACCAGTGGGTGTACGGATCAGTTCTTTCTGGTTGATACGCTGTCAAAACAAAAATAAGAGCGAAAATGGATAGAGGCACAGGCATTCGGAGCTAAAGGGTACCAACGCCAGAAAACCTCGTTTACTTTGTTATTGTCAATCATCTTAGACGTTTTTTCTTGTTAATATTGTGTCGTGGTCGAGGGGGTTAAGCACTTGACTTGATATTTACTCATTAGTTATCATTGTAAATATGTTTTTGTCATCGGTTATTCTAAATACTGTTATTTTGTTTTTGTTTATGTACCTTTTAAGGGGCCCCTTATCACAAGCTCTGCTTCTCCGGGGTCCCAAACCTATCATGTTTTTTATTTCTTTTGTGTCAATTGATTGTAAAATGTTGTGTTTGATTGGTTTGAATAAACTTGAACTTGAACTTGATTTAAAAAAAATTGTGGGTTCGATCACTGACACAGCACTAATGCATTTTGGCAAGGCATCACTCTACATTTGCTACTGCATTCACAGAAGAGAAAAGGGGACCTGGTAGGACGACGGAAGTCTTTTGTTACTAATTGCTATATATGCCCTCATGGTGACCATAATGGTGGGAGTACTCTCCAGGGAGTGAAGATGGTGCACATTATGCGTGAGTCCGATGACCGGGGTAATAATCTCTGTAAAGCGCTTAGAGACGGCATTTTTATAATAATCGCTATATAAATCTAGATTATTATTATCATAATTGGTCAGTATAAAAAAGATCCTGTCTTGTTGCCAACTTGTGCGCCTCTATACTGTATAATGTTAGAAAAGACTGCTAATAAGTTGTTTAAAGATGTCTGAAGGAAACGCGTACTTTACTTCTGAGTATTCTCATGCGATACCCTGAAGGATTAGGAAAGACAGTACTTTGGTTTTTTTTTAAATTGTATATAGAATTATTGACTGACGTAGGCGCCCGCAAAACATTCATTACCATATGAATTGGAGCTGGCCTACTTGTGTTTGGGTAAAGAGCGACAAGCTAATAACTAATGGTGTCACGATGTTGCCATTAACATTTCGATGCTGTATAAAATGACATGTCCTTTCACATTCGTGAACCGAAGATTATTTTGCTGACGCAAAATGGCAAAAAGAAACAAATGATGGGGGTGGATGATCGAAGTAGTACATGTAAATGCGTCTTCTTTCACCTCTTTCTCTCTCTCTTTCTTTCCTTGCTTTTTCATTCATTTTAATTTTATTTGTTTTAACACTGGAAGGTGCATATTCCTCTGTGCCCCCTATATAATATAGACGCGATACGTAGCATGTGTCCCTGGATCTACCCCTGTTCTAAAAAGAATTTGGTCTTACTTCGAGATTGGAGGTGGTTTGTCATCCTCCTCTGTGACCCACGGGTATCTCCGCATTGACACGGTCCCGTCTCTTCAGTCGGAAACAGACCCTTGGCTCGTATACACTGTCGTCTGCCTACTATGCAAAACCGATATCGGGTATTCATTGAAGTGGCCGTGCACGAGCATGTCGTCCATGGCGTCCAGTCTGAGTAAATCACTTCACCAAGTGCTAGACCTATAGTGAAACCAACCAACAAACAAACAGTAATATATATACAATCACACAAACGATCAAACCAGGGGCGGATCCATCCGGCTGCAAGAGGGGGGGGGGGGGGGGAGGCCAATTCATGAAAAATTTGCGACTCAGCCAGCCGCAGCCGGTAAATAAGCGGGGGGGGGGGGGGGGAAGTAAGAGCACATATGTATTTGTTTTGGTCCAATTTTTTAGGAAATATTTAGCAGCGACACAGCCAGCCAGTGAATAAGCGAGGAGGGGGGGGGGGGGGGGGGGGGAGTGTACGAGCACATTTTGTTCGTTGTTGCAGCGAATCATTCAGCCGGTTATTTACCGGGGTAAAGAATTTATGGCTTAACCAATATAAATAGGCTTAAATCTATAATTATTTGAATGATTTCAATTGATTAAAATTGAAATAAATCGATTCAAATTTGGATTGATAATTACGAAAATATGTTATCAAACATGTCAAAGATTGTGCTAAATGTACGGCTCTATCTTTTCGACTTACGTAGTGCTCTTCTTAACCTGACGTGATTACTGCTAGAATTTCTGCATGCGAGTGACTGGTTGAACACAGAACAACCGTCATCATCCGTCGTGGTCTTCGACGTCGAATCGTATCCGTATGCGTCGACGGCCGCTGCTGAGTTGACCTCATCACGATATCGATGTTGGACTTCTGCCGGATCCGTCAACGAGTACGAGAAGGATGATTTCGATGAAGGGTCGAATTCGGTTTTAAAATCTGTTTTTTTAGGGGAAGTTTGAAACATCCGCGTAAACATCTATAAATCCATGATTTGGTGATTTTTTTAAAGATAAAATCAACATTAGTCTTAGACTAAATGAAAGACATGTATAGCTGTAGAATCTAAATATTTCTCAATACTTTGTAATAAATAAGAGAGGCCTATTAAATTTTAAAAAAATAGACCACCTCTCATATTGAATATGAGGTGACGGTTGTTGCCCGGACATGATAGTCTCGAGTTCTCGGCGAGGGGGGTGGGGGGATGTTGGTGATGATGATTATAAAGGTGATGATGGTGATGATGATGATGATGATGCGGACAATGGTGATGATAATGGTGATAATAATGATGATAATGATGGTGGTGATGATGATGATGATGATGATAATGGTGATTATAATGATGATAATTGTGATGATGATGATGATGATGATAATGGTAATAATAATGGTGATGTTGATGATGATTATGGTGATGATGACGATGATGATGGTGATGATGGTGATGATGATGATGATGATAATGGTGATCATTATGATGATGATATTGGTGACGATTGTGATGATGATAATGTTGATAATTATCATGATGACGATGATGATAACGATGATGATGATTATGAGAACGATGATGATGATGAAGAAGATGAAAGTGGTGGTGGTGATGATGATGATGATGATGATACATCATAACGCAAATCAACTTACATGAACATGGTATCAGTATACAAGGCCGCCTGGTTATCATACTCTTGTTGCCTTTGCAACCAAAGACGTCTAAATGCATCGTCTGTATCCTTCTCTCGCTCAGAGGAGAAGGAAGCAGGCATTCTCGCCTCCGGGTCTGTTCTCCCTCTCCACATGATGCACTGCATCGGGACCATGGCTGCCATGGTCCCACACCCTCCAGTGACTGGCAGAGAATTACTGTAAAAATCACAAAAAGCAAACGTCGTTTATACGAAAATTTAGATGATTTAGCAGAAAAGGCAAAGCACAGATTGGTAGCAAGTCACGCAGCCTCAAATTTGAGTTTGGTAAAATTAACTTCTGTGATGTACACATGTATATCTAGATCTTTGGCATATCTTTGGTTATCCCATCCCCAGGCACGTAGCCAGAATTTGATGTTTTTTTTTTTTTTTGGGGGGGGGGGGGGGCACATACAAATGTACATGTAATCGATCGAGGTAAAAAAAAAAAGGGGGTCTAAAAAGGTTCAACCGATCTTCGAAATTTAGGGGGGGGGGGGGCACGTGTCCCCCGTGGCTACGTGCCTGCCCATCCCGCACCTAACTCTACCAGAACTCATTTCCCCCTCGGACAGTAACTGCGTGGAATGCACTTTCGAAGATCATCCTTGACGCTACTTCACTGGAGGGCTTCAAGGGAGCGCTTCCACCCAGCATCTAGACCAACAACTAGATAGTTTATTCCTCAGCACTACATCCTGACTTATGGATCCTGCTGAGTATCGTAATAGAAGTAGAAGTAGACCTAGATCTAGATCTAGACTAGAAATCTAACCATATAAAATATGTGTCATTGATGATATTGTCTTGCACAAGTCTTTTTAAAACTCTGAAATATCGCATGTAAACTTGTTCAAATTGCAATTTTAGATAAACTATCCGAAGACAAAACGTCTTGGTAGGTTTAGGATAGAATCTACATCTAAATAAACTCAGAAATTTGCACTCACCTTCAAAGCAGCAAATAACCACCAACAAGAACAAATTCCTGTCTCTTTCTAATGATAATCGAACTACCATGGCATTGCATACGGCACTACAAGACGCATTCTTATTCAGCAAGAAGACAAGACAACCCACAAACAATTTCTAGTTAAAGATGTCTAAAATCACGAAATCAAAGTAGAAAGATCAGTAATAATATCCTTGCACGTGAGTCTAACTTTGTATCCACTATAATATTATTTTGGAAACGGTTACTACGCGCAAAGGATTACGTCACATTTTTACGCGCTTTTGTTTCGCGCCATTCTAGTTGCTAACACCGCAAAAAATGTCTGCGTAACTAGCGTGTCGCACCATTATTACGTCACAAAGCACATACACTCACAACTTGCCACGAGGATCCGAAAGAGGATTGGTTGAGAGTAAAGCTTCTGTGTGTTTTTGCTTGCAATTCATCTGATTTGCAGTTTATGCTACGCCAATATGTTAGGAAATGTGAAAGTTGTTGGTGGTGATTAAAAGATATTGTGAGTAATTATTGTACCATCAAAATATTTGCAGACGATACCAAGCTCTGTCGAATAGTGGACAATCAAGATGATGCCACTCTCCCCCAAGATCGAACCTTGAGCCACTCCACATCTTACAGCCTGCATCGAGGATTGATGGAAATTGTTTCCGATTTTGAAAATAGCTGTCAAATAAATAAATTGAGTGCATCCCCTCCCCCGATTCCATATTGAGCTAATTTCCGTAACAATAAACTGTGATCGAGCGAATCAAATGCTTTGCTCAGGTCGATGAACAGACCAATCAACGTTTCGTGTTTATCCAATGCACATGTGACTTCATTTCTGCTAAGGCGGAAGATGTGGAGTGCCCCTTTCTAAAACCGAACTAATTATTATTGATCATCTTCTTTTCTCCAAAGTAGTAAGTTTGAGTTTTGCTAATCTCTCTTCATAATACATGTTGAACACTTGGGATGAGTTTTGTGGCTCTTGTTCGAACTTTTTCCAACTTCTTTTTGTCTATTTCCAGGTAGGTATTATGACACACTTACTAATAGTGAATCAGGGGTTTAATTGTTCTGGATTTCCAAATGAATGGAAGTTTTTATTGCAATCATGGTTGTAGTAAATAATAATAATAATAAAGATTGATATATTAAGCGCATAATAAACTAAAGTTTTTCTATGCGCTTTACATAGTAAAAAATAAGCATGTGGAAGTATATTTAACTAGTTATAAGAACGAAATACAAAAAACTTAAACTAAAGACAAGTAGATAAATTTATAAATTCATTAAGAGCAAATTAAAAACAGAAAGCAAATATTTTTGAAAAATCAATTAGAGTAACATACTTAATTACAATACATTAATTAATTGCAATGTCAAAAATAACTCAAAACGTGGTTATTTTTTAGGCGAACGAAAGTGAAAAAGTCATTCATGAATATAGATATGTAAAGGTATAAAGAAAGTGTTTAATATTTTTGACAGTCATGATACACATACAGTACCACTAGGTTTTTAATTATTCTGGATTACCAAATAAATGAAAGTTTTCATTGCAATCATGGTTGTAGTAAATAACTCAGCACGTTGGTTTTTTTTTAAGCGAACGTGAGGGATAAAGTCATTCATGAATATAAATATGTAAAGGCATAAAGAAAGTGTTCAATATAATTTTGACAGTCATAAAACACATATACCGTGTGAGTCCAAAAAAATTCCACTCAGAAAATTGTCATCTATTTTAAAAGTCAGCTATGAACGAGAGGTTATCATATATGTTTTGAAAGAGTGTTATATTCCGAATCGTTTGATATTATTTTTGAGTGGTATGTGTTCACGCTTGGATGAGCAGGATGCATTGTTTGCGAGAGTGCAAAAATCGACTCGCGCAAAAGTATTAAAGTGAGAGAATGAAGTGAATGTATCAAAATGATGCATTGCATATGCCTTTTGCAGAAGCAAAGTCACACACAACACACACGCGCGCACATATGTAATTTGATTAATTGATATTTGATATGTGTGCATATGGCATGATTATTTTTTTAGGGATGTTATTTGCATCTGCAAAGACCGAATTAATACCCAAATCCCAATTGTTTTATTCAAACATTACTTAAGCATTACTAGCGCAAGTCGATTTCTGCACTCTCTGAAACAATGTATCTTGTTTATCCAAGCGTGAACACATACAACACACAAATGATACCAAATGGTTTGGGATAAAACAGTATTTCATAAGATGTACAATAATTTACTATCCATAGATGATTTTTAAAATAATTAGCAATTTTCTAGGTGTATATTTTTTTGACTCACACTATAGATTGTACCACAGGAGGTTAAAAAACGGGAATGTTGACATCGGACAAGAAACAATATCGTGAGCCTGCCATGCAAGATAAGATAAAATAAAAGATGCAACATTTTTCAGAATACCAATTATCTTGTCATAATTATCTTCAATGCGCATAATTATGCAAATGATGATTAAGCGCTATTTTATTGATAATAGGCACATGCGCACACAAGTATGAGAGCAAGCAAAGAGATCACAGAAAAAATACAATAAAAGTCAAGACAAAAGATACATCAAGTTTCAGAATATCACCCCAAACCGCCCTGTAGAATCGCTACTGAGAATAGGTCGGTACGCTTACAAAAAATAATATCCCCATTTTGATTCGAAACAACACATATTATTATCTGATTCTGTAAAAGATGAGGCGAACCGTTGAAAATTAAGAACAGCTGATTTCTCAATGTTTTTTTCTTCCTGTTTAATTTGCATTATATATATATATATATAAATATTTTTTAATATATATTTTTTTCTTTACATTTACTTATTTTAATATTATGTGTTGTCATTGTTTAATTTTGAGTTTTATCTGTTTATTCATATATATTTTAATGTACCGTGTACGGACATGCTGAAAAGCAGCTATGCTAAGCTAAAAGCATGTTTTGAAATCACCGTATTTAAATAAATAAACAAACAAACAAAAATTCAGCTGAAGTTTTTAATATCTCACTCTTAAGTATCAAATTTCGTTTAACAATGTTGATGTGCAATTAATTTGGTTTGTCTTGAATGATATCGGACCTATTCAATCCATGCAAAGATAAGGCATAGATTGTCATGGCGGTACTTATGTACAAGGATGCGTGTTGCATTCTGGTTCATCCCTTTGCTCGCCAGGGCACCCGACCGTGATTTCTTCTTGTTCTCCAAGGCATTCCCGCCATCGTATCGTATTACCGGTACCACAAGTCTTGCTGCACGTTCCCACTTCAACCGAACATGAACGGTCTCAGCCGGCGAACCCCTATTTTGGACGGCCGGGTTAGATAGATAGATAGATAATTTTTATTGGTTTCCACAATATCTCATTTTACAAAGAGTGTAACCACATATTTTAAAATGTTTATAATATGCATGTACATACAATACCGGTACACATTATTCAGAAAATTGTCCCACACTTGTACTTAAGATATACAGTAGCGGAGCCTTTGGAAAAGCAGAGCTTGTTGTGGGTAGGCTCCTTAAACTACTAATGACATAATTAACTAAAGTTAGGTTTATTAAATACAATTACACGCTAAAACAGGGAAAGTGAGATTACAGGGATACATGAACCGATACTCACAATTAACTACAAAAGACAAGGGAAAGGGAAAGAAATATATCTGCAGCTTATTGTAACAATAGAACAATGTAGTTTATAGTCAATATGAGTAGTATATGTACATAGTTGACATGGCCATATCGTTATTTACGCATTGTAATCAACAGAGGTATACTGCTTGGAGACAAAGATGGTCAGGAATCAGGAATTATCCTGATAATCCTCTATAGCCCCCCCCCCCCCCGGAAACTACTCGATCTGCGCCTGCCATGCAACATAAGATGAAATAAATGATAAAAACAATTTTCAGAATACCCATTATCTTGTCATAACTATATTCCATGCGCATATGAAAATGAGGATTAAGCGCCATTGCATTAATAATACGCACATGTGCGCAAAGTTTGAGAGAAGGCAAAGGGATCACGGAGAATATACAATAAAAGTTAAGACGAAAGTAACTAAATTTTCAGAATTGTTACTATCTCACGCATAAGTATTAGATTTGTTTAACAATGTTGACGTGCAATTCATTTGGGTTTGTGTTTAACGATACAGAACCAATTTACACTTAAAACCATCATTGACAAATACGTGAGAACCGCAAACAAGGCTTGTGAAAAGAGTCATATCTACTTGTGCTTTGTCGATCTACGGAAAGCCTTCGACAGTGTTTGGAGGAAAGGACTGTATTATAAAATGTTGACATGTGGAATCGGAGGCCAGTTTTACGAAATCATGACGAACATGTATAAAAACCTAAAACTGAGTGTAACGCTGAATGAAGGGATTACCCAGTATTTTAAAACCAGTTGTGGTATAAAAACAAGGCTGTATTATAAGTCCCACTCTGTTTAACCTATATCTAAATGACCTGCCGCATGAGTTGGGAACTATTGATACTCTTCCCGTGGAATTGAATGGAAAGTTAGTGAACTGTTTAATGTATCACAGTCTTGAAGTGGAATGCAAACATTGTTTAGATAGATTTGATGTGTACTGTAATAAACGGCTGTTGAATGTTAATATAGACAAAACGAAAATGATTATTTGTAACAAGAACGGAAAGATATTGAAAGAACAGAATTTCAAAGTGAAGGGGAAAAACATTGAAATTGTTAAACAGGCAACATATTTAGGTCTTGTCTTTAATAATTATGGTACATTCAAGGACACAAGGGTTAATCTAGCAGATGAATCAAAAAGAGTTTTATTTAAATTATTCCAATCATTCGGATATCACCTCCCTAATATGAAAATAGCAACACGATTATTTGACTCTTTGATAAAACCAATATTTGTGTGTGGATCAGAGGTATGGGGCGCTTTTACCGTCAACTTTGACAAGTTAGCGAAACTTGTAAAAGGTAACTCCAAAACTTATTTAAGAAATGAAATACAAAGTGTTCACTTCCAATGGTTGAGAAATGTTTTAGGTGTTAATAAAAAAAAAGCAGCCATCTGGCAATACTAGGCGAAGTTGGATCGTACCCTTTAATTATACAAATTTGTCGAAACTTGGGAAAGCATTATGCACGAATGTGAAATATAAGTACCGATTCGTTATTATACCTCTCTTTCCAAGAAAACAAAAAGATGACTGAAAATAATTGTGAATGCTGGCTAGGAAATATGCACTAGCTTCTCAGGGGATTTAAATTATTTGTGGATGAAAATGATGGTTGTTTAGACTAGGACGATATTACCAATAATGATGGAGTAGTTGGAGAAGAAATAGAAACCAAAATGGAAGACTTTTACCACCGCCAGTTCTTGATGGATTTATGTAGTGATTGTGTAAATGACAATGAACAAAATAAATTGAGAACATATACTATATTTAAACAGAGTATACAAACAGAGAAATATTTATTAACCGTTAAAAACCGTAAACTACGAACAAATATCTGCCGATTTAGAATTAGTTCTAGGCGTTGTGGCGTGCGCCTGTAATTCAGCTAACAGTGGAAGTTACAAACTGATTCAGCCGAGGACGTAGGTTCGAAACTGAGTCACGTCTTTCGGATGGTGACGTTAAAAGTCGGTCCCCAGACGTAAATAGTCATATCTGATTGATACACGTCTGTATAAAACCCAAATACACACACACACGTTTGCATAACCTCCCGATAGAAACTGGAAGACATAGACATAGGAAAAAATACCTTCACATTTAAGAACTTGCATGACTGTTACTTGGCAAGGGTTGGGGATGAATTTCATACCATAATGGATTAAGGCTGAAAGGGGGGGGGGGTATTTCTCAATGAAATGGCTGAAATATCTCGACAGCTTAAAGATCTTAGCGATGAAGAGAAATGTGTAAGCATTATGAAACTTGAGATTGAAAATATAATTGAGCACTTCTGTAAGTATATTAAAACAATCATAAATACTCGAGGGGAATTTTAACATCCCATCCGTTTTTTTAGAAAATCAATATCGAAATTATCATTCCCATTTGTTATGTATCTTTATTGTCAAACATAGGCTGGTACGTGTCATATAATTAATTTGTAATGATATAATTTACCACTCTATATACAAGCTACATTGTTTATTGTTAATTTATGATTACTCGAGAAACTATACCACTTGCTGATTTTCTTATTTATATATTTGTTTTAATTATGTATTGTGAAACAAAATGTTCATGTATATGAATGAAGTTCAAATTCAAATTCAATCAATGAAAAATAAGGCATATATATTGTCATGGCGAAACTTACCCTTAATAACTCCACAAGGACCCGGGTTGCATGCTGGTCTATCCATTGCCTGGCCAGGGCACCCGACCTGTTTGACACCTCTTTCATCAAGGCATTTCCGCCGTCGCAACGTAACGCCGGCACCGCAAGTCTTGCTACAAAATGGGAGTCCAGTCCAGGGTGACCAGTGGACCGCGCCTGCCATGCAAGATAAGATTTAAAATAAAGATACAACAATTTTTAGAGTACCAATCATCTTGTCATAATTATCTTCCATGCGCATATGGAAATTCGGATTAAGCACCATTGCATTAATCAGTTCAATTTAATGTATTTATGTTTCCAACAAAACATTACACAATTATAAACATTTTCATGACGCAAAGGAAAATGTTACAGATATTGACTTACTGCTTAATTATGCTTTATTTGCAATTCATAAAGCGAGTGTTGTAAATCAATTTAATAAAAATGTAGCAACGAAAATAATAAACGAATATTTTGTGTTTATGTTAAAATACAGACTAGAAGTAGAGGAAGATAAAACTAAGACAACCGATGTGAATACTACTAAGTGGAGGAATATAATTACTGATTTACAGGATATATTATTTCATCTCATTTAAACATATGATTAAGTATTAATTAAATATTTATGTATGATGTAATCCGTAATGCTATATCTGAATAAAGATTTATTTCAACAACAACAAAAATACATCTTGAAAACAGAGGGCTCCACTAAAAAGCAGTGCTTGTACAATTAGTGTGGACCCATCAATTGATACTTAGAAATAATGAGTAATTAAATTTAAAAGTGCGTAACTACAAAAGTAAGTACAAAGGGGGGGGGGGTGTCAACTGAGATGAGAAAGGGACAAGACAGTACTTTACATGACAAATAAAGGAGAACAGGGTCACAGGAAAAAGAGTAGACAATGTCAAAAAAAGAAAAATTAATACGCACATGCGCACAAAAGTTTGAGAGCTAGCAAAGATATCACAGAAAAGATACAATAAAAGTTAAGACGATAAATTACAAAATTTTTAGGAATACCAACCTTGTCTTAACAGCAAAGATACAACAATATTATTAGAGATATAAAAAGTTTCAGAATACCGCCCCGATATTTGCCTTAGCCTTAAACCCCTCCCCCCCCTCCCCTGTACAATTTCTACTGAAAATATTTCAATACGCGTACAAAATTTAAATCCCCATTTTTATTCAAAACAACTCATATCATATATCCTGCATCAAAAATGAATTGGTTTTTAATTGGTTGAGAGCTCGTCACGTGACCAGATATATTTCGACTATTTTAAGGTTGCCCCGAAAAATTACTTTTTGGGAGTGCTATTTGGGAGTTGAATTATTTTTTCAATATTTTTTTAGTTTGATAACTTTTTTTTACATTTCTACATTTTTAAATAATACTCCAACATTTTCCAAAAATTCTATTTTTTGTTGTTAAAGAAATTGTTTTTTGATGCAGGTTATAAAACAAATGTACCATGCCTTCTTCTCGAGGTACTGGTTGAAACTATGGACCTCGGTGACTCCTATAGTTTCATTTACTTCGGATTTTTCGCAGTAAACCTATTTATTTCAGTAAAGGATGAAGCGAACCGTTGGAAATTAAAAACAGCTGCATCATTCACCTCATGGAACTTTTAATATCTCATTCATAAGTATTTAATTTTGTTCAACAATGTTGACGTGCAAAAATTAATTATGGGGTTTGTCTTGAATGATGATACAAAACCTATTCAATCCATGAAAACATAAGGCATAACGTGTCATGGCGAAACTCACGTTCAACTGGACAAGGATTCGTGTTGCATTCTGGTTCATCCATGTCCTTGCCAATGCACCCGACCTGGATTCGACCGTCCTCGTCAGTGCAATTCCTCCGTCGCATCTTAGTACCGGTATCACAAGACTTGGTGCACGTTTGCACTTCAACCCAAGGTGACCAGTTTCGTACTATGTCCAATTTGCAGGTCAACAAAAATGGAAATGTTAAATTCCAACGCCATTTGAAAGACAATACTTATTTAGAACGTCCCTCAAGACGAAAGGGTTCGAAAATGGCTTTTTGTGGGTAAAAGTCGACCATTAGTTGACAAATCGACATATTAAGTGCTTGAAACCACCTTAGTAACAGTTTGATTTTCAGGCCCTTGTACCGAATGCTCGTACGTTTTGTGCTGCACAAAGATTCAATCACTTTGACTTTGGCCATTGCTAGTAGTGGGTTTTTGGATGTAGACAAATGCTCATAAACCTGTTACAGCTCATTTTACGTATGTAATTACCAAATAAAGAAAGATGTCAGCCACTCAGTCAATAGTGTCTGACTGTGAAGTCTAGAGGTAAACGGGTTTCCTTGTACAATTAGAATACTGGGACACTGCTAACGTTTACATTTCACCGATACAACATACATGACATTTTCATAATTCCTGCAAAGTTCAACAGAATTTGATGTTGGCTGCTAAAGTGACTTGGTAGTTATAATCCAGTCTCGACCTACGCACCCCTATTTTGGACGTCTGAGTTAGATTCCTGTAGGTTATGGTTCGCTACAGAGAATAGGTCAATACGCCTTTAAAAAAAATATCCCCATTTTGATTGAAAACGACTCATATTATAACGTTTTTCATTTTGTGAAACAGTAAAACTATTAAATTCAGTAAAAGATGAAGCGAACCGTTGGAAATTAAGAACAGCTGCATCATTAATCTTATCATGAAGTTCTTACTTTCTCACTCATAAGCATTAAATTTTGTTTAACAATGTCGACGTGCAAAAATTAATTTGGGGGTTTGTCTTGAATAATATTCAATCCATGAAAAAATAAGGCAAAACGTGTTGTGGCAGAACTCACCAACTGGACAAGGATTCGTGTTGCATTCTGGTTCATCCATGTCCTTGCCAATGCACCCGACCTGGATTCGACCGTCTTCGTCAGTGCAATCCCGCCGTCGCATCGTAGTACCGGTATCACAAGACTTGGAGCACGTTTGCACTTCAACCCAAGGTGACCAGTTTCGTACTATGTCCAATTTGCAGGTCAACAAAAATGGAAATGTTAAATTCCAACGCCATTTGAAAGACAATACTTATTTAGAACGTCCCTCAAGACGAAAGGGTTTGAAAATGGCTTTTTGTGGGAAAAATCGACCATTAGTTGACAAATCGACATATTAAGTGATTGCAATCACCTTAGTAACAGTTTGATTTTCAGGCCCTTGTACCGAATGCTCGTACGTTTTGTGCTGCACAAAGATTCAATCACTTTGACTTTGGCCATTGCTAGTAGTGGGTTTTTGGATGTAGACAAATGCTCATAAACCTGTTACAGCTCATTTTACGTATGTAATTACCAAATAAAGAAAGATGTCAGCCACTCAGTCAATAGTGTCTGACTGTGAAGTCTAGAGGTAAACGGGTTTCCTTGTACAATTTGAATACTGGGACACTGCTAACGTTTACATTTCACCGATACAACATACATGACATTTTCATAATTCCTGCAAAGTTCAACAGAATTTGATGTTGGCTGCTAAAGTGACTTGGTAGTTATAATCCAGTCTCGACCTACGCACCCCTATTTTGGACGTCTGAGTTAGATTCCTGTAGGTTATGGTTCGCTACAGAGAATAGGTCAATACGCCTTTAAAAAAAATATCCCCATTTTGATTGAAAACGACTCATATTATAACGTTTTTCATTTTGTGAAACAGTAAAACTATTAAATTCAGTAAAAGATGAAGCGAACCGTTGGAAATTAAGAACAGCTGCATCATTAATCTTATCATGGAGTTCTTACTTTCTCACAAATAAGCATTGAATTTTGTTTAACAATGTCGACGTGCAAAAATTAATTTGGGGGTTTGTTTTGAATAATATTCAATCCATGAAAAAATAAGGCAAAACGTGTTGTGGCAGAACTCACCAACTGGACAAGGATTCGTGTTGCATTCTGGTTCATCCATGTCCTTGCCAATGCACCCGACCTGGATTCGACCGTCTTCGTCAGTGCAATCCCGCCGTCGCATCGTAGTACCGGTATCACAAGACTTGGAGCACGTTTGCACTTCAACCCAAGGTGACCAGTTTCGTACTATGTCCAATTTGCAGGTCAACAAAAATGGAAATGTTAAATTCCAACGCCATTTGAAAGACAATACTTATTTAGAACGTCCCTCAAGACGAAAGGGTTTGAAAATGGCTTTTTGTGGGAAAAATCGACCATTAGTTGACAAATCGACATATTAAGTGATTGCAATCACCTTAGTAACAGTTTGATTTTCAGGCCCTTGTACTGAATGCTCGTACGTTTTGTGCTGCACAAAGATTCAATCACTTTGACTTTGGCCATTGCTAGTAGTGGGTTTTTGGATGTAGACAAATGCTCATAAACCTGTTACAGCTCATTTTACGTATGTAATTACCAAATAAAGAAAGATGTCAGCCACTCAGTCAATAGTGTCTGACTGTGAAGTCTAGAGGTAAACGGGTTTCCTTGTATAATTTGAATACTGGGAGACTGCTAAAGTTTACATTTCACCGATACAACATACATGACATTTTCATAATTCCTGCAAAGTTCAACAGAATTTGATGTTGGCTGCTAAAGCGACTTGGTAGTTATAATCCAGTCTCGACCTGCGCACCCCTATTTTGGACGTCTGAGTTAGATTCCTGTAGGTTATGGTTCGCTACAGAGAATAGGTCAATACGCCTTTAAAAAAAATATCCCCATTTTGATTGAAAACGACTCATATTATAACGTTTTTCATTTTGTGAAACAGTAAAACTATTAAATTCAGTAAAAGATGAAGCGAACCGTTCGAAATTAAGAACAGCTGCATCATTAATCTTATCATGAAGTTCTTACTATCTCACTCATAAGCATTAAATTTTGTTTAACAATGTCGACGTGCAAAAATTAATTTGGGGGTTTGTCTTGAATAATATTCAATCCATGAAAAAATAAGGCAAAATGTGTTGTGGCAGAACTCACCAACTGGACAAGGATTCGTGTTGCATTCTGGTTCATCCATGTCCTTGCCAATGCACCCGACCTGGATTCGACCGTCTTCGTCAGTGCAATCCCGCCGTCGCATCGTAGTACCGGTATCACAAGACTTGGAGCACGTTTGCACTTCAACCCAAGGTGACCAGTTTCGTACTATGTCCAATTTGCAGGTCAACAAAAATGGAAATGTTAAATTCCAACGCCATTTGAAAGACAATACTTATTTAGAACGTCCCTCAAGACGAAAGGGTTCGAAAATGGCTTTTTGTGGGAAAAATCGACAATTAGTTGACAAATCGACATATTAAGTGCTTGAAATCACCTTAGTAACAGTTTGATTTTCAGGCCCTTGTACCGAATGCTCGTACGTTTTGTGCTGCACAAAGATTCAATCACTTTAATTTTGGCCATTGCTAGTAGTGGGTTTTTGGATGTAGACAAATGCTCATAAACCTGTTACAGCTCATTTTACGTATGTAATTACCAAATAAAGAAAGATGTCAGCCACTCAGTCAATAGTGTCTGACTGTGAAGTCTAGAGGTAAACGGGTTTCCTTGTATAATTTGAATACTGGGAGACTGCTAAAGTTTACATTTCACCGATACAACATACATGACATTTTCATAATTCCTGCAAAGTTCAACAGAATTTGATGTTGGCTGCTAAAGCGACTTGGTAGTTATAATCCAGTCTCGACCTGCGCACCCCTATTTTGGACGTCTGAGTTAGATTCCTGTAGGTTATGGTTCGCTACAGAGAATAGGTCAATACGCCTTTAAAAAAAATATCCCCATTTTGATTGAAAACGACTCATATTATAACGTTTTTCATTTTGTGAAACAGTAAAACTATTAAATTCAGTAAAAGATGAAGCGAACCGTTGGAAATTAAGAACAGCTGCATCATTAATCTTATTATGCAGTTCTTACTATCTCACTCATAAGCATTAAATTTTGTTTAACAATGTCGACGTGCAAAAATTAATTTGGGGGTTTGTCTTGAATAATATTCAATCCATGAAAAAATAAGGCAAAACGTGTTGTGGCAGAACTCACCAACTGGACAAGGATTCGTGTTGCATTCTGGTTCATCCATGTCCTTGCCAATGCACCCGACCTGGATTCGACCGTCTTCGTCAGTGCAATCCCGCCGTCGCATCGTAGTACCGGTATCACAAGACTTGGAGCACGTTTGCACTTCAACCCAAGGTGACCAGTTTCGTACTATGTCCAATTTGCAGGTCAACAAAAATGGAAATGTTAAATTCCAACGCCATTTGAAAGACAATACTTATTTAGAACGTCCCTCAAGACGAAAGGGTTCGAAAATGGCTTTTTGTGGGAAAAATCGACAATTAGTTGACAAATCGACATATTAAGTGCTTGAAATCACCTTAGTAACAGTTTGATTTTCAGGCCCTTGTACCGAATGCTCGTACGTTTTGTGCTGTACAAAGATTCAATCACTTTAATTTTGGCCATTGCTAGTAGTGGGTTTTTGGATGTAGACAAATGCTCATAAACCTGTTACAGCTCATTTTACGTATGTAATTACCAAATAAAGAAAGATGTCAGCCACTCAGTCAATAGTGTCTGACTGTGAAGTCTAGAGGTAAACGGGTTTCCTTGTACAATTTGAATACTGGGACACTGCTAACGTTTACATTTCACCGATACAACATACATGACATTTTCATAATTCCTGCAAAGTTCAACAGAATTTGATGTTGGCTGCTAAAGTGACTTGGTAGTTATAATCCAGTCTCGACCTACGCACCCCTATTTTGGACGTCTGAGTTAGATTCCTGTAGGTTATGGTTCGCTACAGAGAATAGGTCAATACGCCTTTAAAAAAAATATCCCCATTTTGATTGAAAACGACTCATATTATAACGTTTTTCATTTTGTGAAACAGTAAAACTATTAAATTCAGTAAAAGATGAAGCGAACCGTTGGAAATTAAGAACACCTGGCTGCATCATTAATCTTATCATGGAGTTCTTACTTTCTCACAAATAAGCATTGAATTTTGTTTAACAATGTCGACGTGCAAAAATTAATTTGGGGGTTTGTTTTGAATAATATTCAATCCATGAAAAAATAAGGCAAAACGTGTTGTGGCAGAACTCACCAACTGGACAAGGATTCGTGTTGCATTCTGGTTCATCCATGTCCTTGCCAATGCACCCGACCTGGATTCGACCGTCTTCGTCAGTGCAATCCCGCCGTCGCATCGTAGTACCGGTATCACAAGACTTGGAGCACGTTTGCACTTCAACCCAAGGTGACCAGTTTCGTACTATGTCCAATTTGCAGGTCAACAAAAATGGAAATGTTAAATTCCAACGCCATTTGAAAGACAATACTTATTTAGAACGTCCCTCAAGACGAAAGGGTTTGAAAATGGCTTTTTGTGGGAAAAATCGACCATTAGTTGACAAATCGACATATTAAGTGATTGCAATCACCTTAGTAACAGTTTGATTTTCAGGCCCTTGTACTGAATGCTCGTACGTTTTGTGCTGCACAAAGATTAAATCACTTTGACTTTGGCCATTGCTAGTAGTGGGTTTTTGGATGTAGACAAATGCTCATAAACCTGTTACAGCTCATTTTACGTATGTAATTACCAAATAAAGAAAGATGTCAGCCACTCAGTCAATAGTGTCTGACTGTGAAGTCTAGAGGTAAACGGGTTTCCTTGTATAATTTGAATACTGGGAGACTGCTAAAGTTTACATTTCACCGATACAACATACATGACATTTTCATAATTCCTGCAAAGTTCAACAGAATTTGATGTTGGCTGCTAAAGCGACTTGGTAGTTATAATCCAGTCTCGACCTGCGCACCCCTATTTTGGACGTCTGAGTTAGATTCCTGTAGGTTATGGTTCGCTACAGAGAATAGGTCAATACGCCTTTAAAAAAAATATCCCCATTTTGATTGAAAACGACTCATATTATAACGTTTTTCATTTTGTGAAACAGTAAAACTATTAAATTCAGTAAAAGATGAAGCGAACCGTTCGAAATTAAGAACAGCTGCATCATTAATCTTATCATGAAGTTCTTACTATCTCACTCATAAGCATTAAATTTTGTTTAACAATGTCGACGTGCAAAAATTAATTTGGGGGTTTGTCTTGAATAATATTCAATCCATGAAAAAATAAGGCAAAACGTGTTGTGGCAGAACTCACCAACTGGACAAGGATTCGTGTTGCATTCTGGTTCATCCATGTCCTTGCCAATGCACCCGACCTGGATTCGACCGTCTTCGTCAGTGCAATCCCGCCGTCGCATCGTAGTACCGGTATCACAAGACTTGGAGCACGTTTGCACTTCAACCCAAGGTGACCAGTTTCGTACTATGTCCAATTTGCAGGTCAACAAAAATGGAAATGTTAAATTCCAACGCCATTTGAAAGACAATACTTATTTAGAACGTCCCTCAAGACGAAAGGGTTCGAAAATGGCTTTTTGTGGGAAAAATCGACAATTAGTTGACAAATCGACATATTAAGTGCTTGAAATCACCTTAGTAACAGTTTGATTTTCAGGCCCTTGTACCGAATGCTCGTACGTTTTGTGCTGCACAAAGATTCAATCACTTTAATTTTGGCCATTGCTAGTAGTGGGTTTTTGGATGTAGACAAATGCTCATAAACCTGTTACAGCTCATTTTACGTATGTAATTACCAAATAAAGAAAGATGTCAGCCACTCAGTCAATAGTGTCTGACTGTGAAGTCTAGAGGTAAACGGGTTTCCTTGTATAATTTGAATACTGGGAGACTGCTAAAGTTTACATTTCACCGATACAACATACATGACATTTTCATAATTCCTGCAAAGTTCAACATAATTTGATGTTGGCTGCTAAAGCGACTTGGTAGTTATAATCCAGTCTCGACCTGCGCACCCCTATTTTGGACGTCTGAGTTAGATTCCTGTAGGTTATGGTTCGCTACAGAGAATAGGTCAATACGCCTTTAAAAAAAATATCCCCATTTTGATTGAAAACGACTCATATTATAACGTTTTTCATTTTGTGAAACAGTAAAACTATTAAATTCAGTAAAAGATGAAGCGAACCGTTGGAAATTAAGAACAGCTGCATCATTAATCTTATCATGCAGTTCTTACTATCTCACTCATAAGCATTAAATTTTGTTTAACAATGTCGACGTGCAAAAATTAATTTGGGGGTTTGTCTTGAATAATATTCAATCCATGAAAAAATAAGGCAAAACGTGTTGTGGCAGAACTCACCAACTGGACAAGGATTCGTGTTGCATTCTGGTTCATCCATGTCCTTGCCAATGCACCCGACCTGGATTCGACCGTCTTCGTCAGTGCAATCCCGCCGTCGCATCGTAGTACCGGTATCACAAGACTTGGAGCACGTTTGCACTTCAACCCAAGGTGACCAGTTTCGTACTATGTCCAATTTGCAGGTCAACAAAAATGGAAATGTTAAATTCCAACGCCATTTGAAAGACAATACTTATTTAGAACGTCCCTCAAGACGAAAGGGTTCGAAAATGGCTTTTTGTGGGAAAAATCGACAATTAGTTGACAAATCGACATATTAAGTGCTTGAAATCACCTTAGTAACAGTTTGATTTTCAGGCCCTTGTACCGAATGCTCGTACGTTTTGTGCTGTACAAAGATTCAATCACTTTAATTTTGGCCATTGCTAGTAGTGGGTTTTTGGATGTAGACAAATGCTCATAAACCTGTTACAGCTCATTTTACGTATGTAATTACCAAATAAAGAAAGATGTCAGCCACTCAGTCAATAGTGTCTGACTGTGAAGTCTAGAGGTAAACGGGTTTCCTTGTATAATTTGAATACTGGGAGACTGCTAAAGTTTACATTTCACCGATACAACATACATGACATTTTCATAATTCCTGCAAAGTTCAACAGAATTTGATGTTGGCTGCTAAAGCGACTTGGTAGTTATAATCCAGTCTCGACCTGCGCACCCCTATTTTGGACGTCTGAGTTAGATTCCTGTAGGTTATGGTTCGCTACAGAGAATAGGTCAATACGCCTTTAAAAAAAATATCCCCATTTTGATTGAAAACGACTCATATTATAACGTTTTTCATTTTGTGAAACAGTAAAACTATTAAATTCAGTAAAAGATGAAGCGAACCGTTGGAAATTAAGAACAGCTGCATCATTAATCTTATCATGAAGTTAGTTCTTACTATCTCACTCATAAGCATTAAATTTTGTTTAACAATGTCGACGTGCAAAAATTAATTTGGGGGTTTGTCTTGAATAATATTCAATCCATGAAAAAATAAGGCAAAACGTGTTGTGGCAGAACTCACCAACTGGACAAGGATTCGTGTTGCATTCTGGTTCATCCATGTCCTTGCCAATGCACCCGACCTGGATTCGACCGTCTTCGTCAGTGCAATCCCGCCGTCGCATCGTAGTACCGGTATCACAAGACTTGGAGCACGTTTGCTCTTCAACCCAAGGTGACCAGTTTCGTACTATGTCCAATTTGCAGGTCAACAAAAATGGAAATGTTAAATTCCAACGCCATTTGAAAGACAATACTTATTTAGAACGTCCCTCAAGACGAAAGGGTTCGAAAATGGCTTTTTGTGGGAAAAATCGACAATTAGTTGACAAATCGACATATTAAGTGCTTGAAATCACCTTAGTAACAGTTTGATTTTCAGGCCCTTGTACCGAATGCTCGTACGTTTTGTGCTGTACAAAGATTCAATCACTTTAATTTTGGCCATTGCTAGTAGTGGGTTTTTGGATGTAGACAAATGCTCATAAACCTGTTACAGCTCATTTTACGTATGTAATTACCAAATAAAGAAAGCTGTCAGCCACTCAGTCAATAGTGTCTGACTGTGAAGTCTAGAGGTAAACGGGTTTCCTTGTATAATTTGAATACTGGGAGACTGCTAAAGTTTACATTTCACCGATACAACATACATGACATTTTCATAATTCCTGCAAAGTTCAACAGAATTTGATGTTGGCTGCTAAAGCGTCTTGGTAGTTATAATCCAGTCTCGACCTGCGCACCCCTATTTTGGACGTCTGAGTTAGATTCCTGTAGGTTATGGTTCGCTACAGAGAATAGGTCAATACGCCTTTAAAAAAAATATCCCCATTTTGATTGAAAACGACTCATATTATAACGTTTTTCATTTTGTGAAACAGTAAAACTATTAAATTCAGTAAAAGATGAAGCGAACCGTTGGAAATTAAGAACAGCTGCATCATTAATCTTATCATGAAGTTCTTACTATCTCACTCATAAGCATTAAATTTCGTTTAACAATGTCGACGTGCAAAAATTAATTTGGGGGTTTGTCTTGAATAATATTCAATCCATGAAAAAATAAGGCAAAACGTGTTGTGGCAGAACTCACCAACTGGACAAGGATTCGTGTTGCATTCTGGTTCATCCATGTCCTTGCCAATGCACCCGACCTGGATTCGACCGTCTTCGTCAGTGCAATCCCGCCGTCGCATCGTAGTACCTGTATCACAAGACTTGGAGCACGTTTGCACTTCAACCCAAGGTGACCAGTTTCGTACTATGTCCAATTTGCAGGTCAACAAAAATGGAAATGTTAAATTCCAACGCCATTTGAAAGACAATACTTATTTAGAACGTCCCTCAAGACGAAAGGGTTCGAAAATGGCTTTTTGTGGGAAAAATCGACAATTAGTTGACAAATCGACATATTAAGTGCTTGAAATCACCTTAGTAACAGTTTGATTTTCAGGCCCTTGTACCGAATGCTCGTACGTTTTGTGCTGCACAAAGATTCAATCACTTTAATTTTGGCCATTGCTAGTAGTGGGTTTTTGGATGTAGACAAATGCTCATAAACCTGTTACAGCTCATTTTACGTATGTAATTACCAAATAAAGAAAGATGTCAGCCACTCAGTCAATAGTGTCTGACTGTGAAGTCTAGAGGTAAACGGGTTTCCTTGTACAATTTGAATACTGGGAGACTGCTTAAGTTTACATTTCACCGATACAACATACATGACATTTTCATAATTCCTGCAAAGTTCAACAGAATTTGATGTTGGCTGCTAAAGCGACTTGGTAGTTATAATCCAGTCTCGACCTGCGCACCCCTATTTTGGACGTCTGAGTTAGATTCCTGTAGGTTATGGTTCGCTACAGAGAATAGGTCAATACGCCTTTAAAAAAAATATCCCCATTTTGATTGAAAACGACTCATATTATAACGTTTTTCATTTTGTGAAACAGTAAAACTATTAAATTCAGTAAAAGATGAAGCGAACCGTTGGAAATTAAGAACAGCTGCATCATTAATCTTATCATGAAGTTCTTACTTTCTCACTCATAAGCATTAAATTTTGTTTAACAATGTCGACGTGCAAAAATTAATTTGGGGGTTTGTCTTGAATAATATTCAATCCATGAAAAAATAAGGCAAAACGTGTTGTGGCAGAACTCACCAACTGGACAAGGATTCGTGTTGCATTCTGGTTCATCCATGTCCTTGCCAATGCACCCGACCTGGATTCGACCGTCTTCGTCAGTGCAATCCCGCCGTCGCATCGTAGTACCGGTATCACAAGACTTGGAGCACGTTTGCACTTCAACCCAAGGTGACCAGTTTCGTACTATGTCCAATTTGCAGGTCAACAAAAATGGAAATGTTAAATTCCAACGCCATTTGAAAGACAATACTTATTTAGAACGTCCCTCAAGACGAAAGGGTTCGAAAATGGCTTTTTGTGGGAAAAATCGACAATTAGTTGACAAATCGACATATTAAGTGCCTGAAATCACCTTAGTAACAGTTTGATTTTCAGGCCCTTGTACCGAATGCTCGTACGTTTTGTGGTGCACAAAGATTCAATCACTTTAATTTTGGCCATTGCTAGTAGTGGGTTTTTGGATGTAGACAAATGCTCATAAACCTGTTACAGCTCATTTTACGTATGTAATTACCAAATAAAGAAAGATGTCAGCCACTCAGTCAATAGTGTCTGACTGTGAAGTCTAGAGGTAAACGGGTTTCCTTGTATAATTTGAATACTGGGAGACTGCTAAAGTTTACATTTCACCGATACAACATACATGACATTTTCATAATTCCTGCAAAGTTCAACAGAATTTGATGTTGGCTGCTAAAGCGACTTGGTAGTTATAATCCAGTCTCGACCTGCGCACCCCTATTTTGGACGTCTGAGTTAGATTCCTGTAGGTTATGGTTCGCTACAGAGAATAGGTCAATACGCCTTTAAAAAAAATATCCCCATTTTGATTGAAAACGACTCATATTATAACGTTTTTCATTTTGTGAAACAGTAAAACTATTAAATTCAGTAAAAGATGAAGCGAACCGTTGGAAATTAAGAACAGCTGCATCATTAATCTTATCATGAAGTTAGTTCTTACTATCTCACTCATAAGCATTAAATTTTGTTTAACAATGTCGACGTGCAAAAATTAATTTGGGGGTTTGTCTTGAATAATATTCAATCCATGAAAAAATAAGGCAAAAACGTGTTGTGGCAGAACTCACCAACTGGACAAGGATTCGTGTTGCATTCTGGTGTATCCATATTTCTGCCACGGCACCCGACCTGGATCCTATTATTTTGGTCAATGCATTCCCGCCGTCGCATCGTAGTACCGGTATCACAAGACTTGGTGCACGTTTGCACTTCAACCCAAGGTGACCAGTTTCGTACTATGTCCAATTTGCAGGTCAACAAAAATGGAAATGTTAAATTCCAACGCCATTTGAAAGACAATTCTTATTTAGAACGTCCCTCAAGACGAAAAGGTTCGAAAATGGCTTTTTGTGGGAAAAATCGACAATTAGTTGACGAATCAACATATTAAGTGCTTGAAATCACCTTAGTAACAGTTTGATTTTCAGGCCCTTGTACCGAATGCTCGTACGTTTTGTGCTGTACAAAGATTCAATCACTTTAATTTTGGCCATTGCTAGTAGTGGGTTTTTGGATGTAGACAAATGCTCATAAACCTGTTACAGCTCATTTTACGTATGTAATTACCAAATAAAGAAAGATGTCAGCCACTCAGTCAATAGTGTCTGACTGTGAAGTCTAGAGGTAAACGGGTTTCCTTGTATAATTTGAATACTGGGAGACTGCTAAAGTTTACATTTCACCGATACAACATACATGACATTTTCATAATTCCTGCAAAGTTCAACAGAATTTGATGTTGGCTGCTAAAGCGACTTGGTAGTTATAATCCAGTCTCGACCTGCGCACCCCTATTTTGGACGTCTGAGTTAGATTCCTGTAGGTTATGGTTCGCTACAGAGAATAGGTCAATACGCCTTTAAAAAAAATATCCCCATTTTGATTGAAAACGACTCATATTATAACGTTTTTCATTTTGTGAAACAGTAAAACTATTAAATTCAGTAAAAGATGAAGCGAACCGTTGGAAATTAAGAACAGCTGCATCATTAATCTTATCATGAAGTTCTTACTATCTCACTCATAAGCATTAAATTTTGTTTAACAATGTCGACGTGCAAAAATTAATTTGGGGGTTTGTCTTGAATAATATTCAATCCATGAAAAAATAAGGCAAAACGTGTTGTGGCAGAACTCACCAACTGGACAAGGATTCGTGTTGCATTCTGGTTCATCCATGTCCTTGCCAATGCACCCGACCTGGATTCGACCGTCTTCGTCAGTGCAATCCCGCCGTCGCATCGTAGTACCGGTATCACAAGACTTGGTGCACGTTTGCACTTCAACCCAAGGTGACCAGTTTCGTACTATGTCCAATTTGCAGGTCAACAAAAATGGAAATGTTAAATTCCAACGCCATTTGAAAGACAATACTTATTTAGAACGTCCCTCAAGACGAAAGGGTTCGAAAATGGCTTTTTGTGGGAAAAATCGACAATTAGTTGACAAATCGACATATTAAGTGCTTGAAATCACCTTAGTAACAGTTTGATTTTCAGGCCCTTGTACCGAATGCTCGAACGTTTTGTGGTGCACAAAGATTCAATCACTTTAATTTTGGCCATTGCTAGTAGTGGGTTTTTGGATGTAGACAAATGCTCATAAACCTGTTACAGCTCATTTTACGTATGTAATTACCAAATAAAGAAAGATGTCAGCCACTCAGTCAATAGTGTCTGACTGTGAAGTCTAGAGGTAAACGGGTTTCCTTGTATAATTTGAATACTGGGAGACTGCTAAAGTTTACATTTCACCGATACAACATACATGACATTTTCATAATTCCTGCAAAGTTCAACATAATTTGATGTTGGCTGCTAAAGCGACTTGGTAGTTATAATCCAGTCTCGACCTGCGCACCCCTATTTTGGACGTCTGAGTTAGATTCCTGTAGGTTATGGTTCGCTACAGAGAATAGGTCAATACGCCTTTAAAAAAAATATCCCCATTTTGATTGAAAACGACTCATATTATAACGTTTTTCATTTTGTGAAACAGTAAAACTATTAAATTCAGTAAAAGATGAAGCGAACCGTTGGAAATTAAGAACAGCTGCATCATTAATCTTATCATGAAGTTAGTTCTTACTATCTCACTCATAAGCATTAAATTTTGTTTAACAATGTCGACGTGCAAAAATTAATTTGGGGGTTTGTCTTGAATAATATTCAATCCATGAAAAAATAAGGCAAAAACGTGTTGTGGCAGAACTCACCAACTGGACAAGGATTCGTGTTGCATTCTGGTGTATCCATATTTCTGCCACGGCACCCGACCTGGATCCTATTATTTTGGTCAATGCATTCCCGCCGTCGCATCGTAGTACCGGTATCACAAGACTTGGTGCACGTTTGCACTTCAACCCAAGGTGACCAGTTTCGTACTATGTCCAATTTGCAGGTCAACAAAAATGGAAATGTTAAATTCCAACGCCATTTGAAAGACAATTCTTATTTAGAACGTCCCTCAAGACGAAAAGGTTCGAAAATGGCTTTTTGTGGGAAAAATCGACAATTAGTTGACGAATCAACATATTAAGTGCTTGAAATCACCTTAGTAACAGTTTGATTTTCAGGCCCTTGTACCGAATGCTCGTACGTTTTGTGCTGTACAAAGATTCAATCACTTTAATTTTGGCCATTGCTAGTAGTGGGTTTTTGGATGTAGACAAATGCTCATAAACCTGTTACAGCTCATTTTACGTATGTAATTACCAAATAAAGAAAGATGTCAGCCACTCAGTCAATAGTGTCTGACTGTGAAGTCTAGAGGTAAACGGGTTTCCTTGTACAATTTGAATACTGGGAGACTGCTTAAGTTTACATTTCACCGATACAACATACATGACATTTTCATAATTCCTGCAAAGTTCAACAGAATTTGATGTTGGCTGCTAAAGCGACTTGGTAGTTATAATCCAGTCTCGACCTGCGCACCCCTATTTTGGACGTCTGAGTTAGATTCCTGTAGGTTATGGTTCGCTACAGAGAATAGGTCAATACGCCTTTAAAAAAAATATCCCCATTTTGATTGAAAACGACTCATATTATAACGTTTTTCATTTTGTGAAACAGTAAAACTATTAAATTCAGTAAAAGATGAAGCGAACCGTTGGAAATTAAGAACAGCTGCATCATTAATCTTATCATGAAGTTCTTACTATCTCACTCATAAGCATTAAATTTTGTTTAACAATGTCGACGTGCAAAAATTAATTTGGGGGTTTGTCTTGAATAATATTCAATCCATGAAAAAATAAGGCAAAACGTGTTGTGGCAGAACTCACCAACTGGACAAGGATTCGTGTTGCATTCTAGTTCATCCATGTCCTTGCCAATGCACCCGACCTGGATTCGACCGTCTTCGTCAGTGCAATCCCGCCGTCGCATCGTAGTACCGGTATCACAAGACTTGGTGCACGTTTGCACTTCAACCCAAGGTGACCAGTTTCGTACTATGTCCAATTTGCAGGTCAACAAAAATGGAAATGTTAAATTCCAACGCCATTTGAAAGACAATACTTATTTAGAACGTCCCTCAAGACGAAAGGGTTCGAAAATGGCTTTTTGTGGGAAAAATCGACAATTAGTTGACAAATCGACATATTAAGTGCTTCAAATCACCTTAGTAACAGTTTGATTTTCAGGCCCTTGTACCGAATGCTCGAACGTTTTGTGGTGCACAAAGATTCAATCACTTTAATTTTGGCCATTGCTAGTAGTGGGTTTTTGGATGTAGACAAATGCTCATAAACCTGTTACAGCTCATTTTACGTATGTAATTACCAAATAAAGAAAGATGTCAGCCACTCAGTCAATAGTGTCTGACTGTGAAGTCTAGAGGTAAACGGGTTTCCTTGTATAATTTGAATACTGGGAGACTGCTAAAGTTTACATTTCACCGATACAACATACATGACATTTTCATAATTCCTGCAAAGTTCAACAGAATTTGATGTTGGCTGCTAAAGCGACTTGGTAGTTATAATCCAGTCTCGACCTGCGCACCCCTATTTTGGACGTCTGAGTTAGATTCCTGTAGGTTATGGTTCGCTACAGAGAATAGGTCAATACGCCTTTTAAAAAAAAATCCCCATTTTGATTGAAAACGACTCATATTATAACGTTTTTCATTTTGTGAAAAAGTAAAACTATTAAATTCAGTAAAAGATGAAGCGAACCGTTGGAAATTAAGAACAGCTGCATCATTAATCTTATCATGAAGTTCTTACTATCTCACTCATAAGCATTACATTTTGTTTAACAATGTCGACGTGCAAAAATTAATTTGGGGGTTTGTCTTGAATAATATTCAATCCATGAAAAAATAAGGCAAAAACGTGTTGTGGCAGAACTCACCAACTGGACAAGGATTCGTGTTGCATTCTGGTGTATCCATATTTCTGCCACGGCACCCGACCTGGATCCTATTATTTTGGTCAATGCATTCCCGCCGTCGCATCGTAGTACCGGTATCACAAGACTTGGTGCACGTTTGCACTTCAACCCAAGGTGACCAGTTTCGTACTATGTCCAATTTGCAGGTCAACAAAAATGGAAATGTTAAATTCCAACGCCATTTGAAAGACAATTCTTATTTAGAACGTCCCTCAAGACGAAAAGGTTCGAAAATGGCTTTTTGTGGGAAAAATCGACAATTAGTTGACGAATCGACATATTAAGTGCTTGAAATCACCTTAGTAACAGTTTGATTTTCAGGCCCTTGTACCGAATGCTCGTACGTTTTGTGCTGTACAAAGATTCAATCACTTTAATTTTGGCCATTGCTAGTAGTGGGTTTTTGGATGTAGACAAATGCTCATAAACCTGTTACAGCTCATTTTACGTATGTAATTACCAAATAAAGAAAGATGTCAGCCACTCAGTCAATAGTGTCTGACTGTGAAGTCTAGAGGTAAACGGGTTTCCTTGTATAATTTGAATACTGGGAGACTGCTAAAGTTTACATTTCACCGATACAACATACATGACATTTTCATAATTCCTGCAAAGTTCAACAGAATTTGATGTTGGCTGCTAAAGCGACTTGGTAGTTATAATCCAGTCTCGACCTGCGCACCCCTATTTTGGACGTCTGAGTTAGATTCCTGTAGGTTATGGTTCGCTACAGAGAATAGGTCAATACGCCTTTAAAAAAAATATCCCCATTTTGATTGAAAACGACTCATATTATAACGTTTTTCATTTTGTGAAACAGTAAAACTATTAAATTCAGTAAAAGATGAAGCGAACCGTTGGAAATTAAGAACAGCTGCATCATTAATCTTATCATGAAGTTCTTACTATCTCACTCATAAGCATTAAATTTTGTTTAACAATGTCGACGTGCAAAAATTAATTTGGGGGTTTGTCTTGAATAATATTCAATCCATGAAAAAATAAGGCAAAACGTGTTGTGGCAGAACTCACCAACTGGACAAGGATTCGTGTTGCATTCTGGTTCATCCATGTCCTTGCCAATGCACCCGACCTGGATTCGACCGTCTTCGTCAGTGCAATCCCGCCGTCGCATCGTAGTACCGGTATCACAAGACTTGGTGCACGTTTGCACTTCAACCCAAGGTGACCAGTTTCGTACTATGTCCAATTTGCAGGTCAACAAAAATGGAAATGTTAAATTCCAACGCCATTTGAAAGACAATACTTATTTAGAACGTCCCTCAAGACGAAAGGGTTCGAAAATGGCTTTTTGTGGGAAAAATCGACAATTAGTTGACAAATCGACATATTAAGTGCTTGAAATCACCTTAGTAACAGTTTGATTTTCAGGCCCTTGTACCGAATGCTCGAACGTTTTGTGGTGCACAAAGATTCAATCACTTTAATTTTGGCCATTGCTAGTAGTGGGTTTTTGGATGTAGACAAATGCTCATAAAACTGTTACAGCTCATTTTACGTATGTAATTACCAAATAAAGAATGATGTCAGCCACTCAGTCAATAGTGTCTGACTGTGAAGTCTAGAGGTAAACGGGTTTCCTTGTATAATTTGAATACTGGGAGACTGCTAAAGTTTACATTTCACCGATACAACATACATGACATTTTCATAATTCCTGCAAAGTTCAACAGAATTTGATGTTGGCTGCTAAAGCGACTTGGTAGTTATAATCCAGTCTCGACCTGCGCACCCCTATTTTGGACGTCTGAGTTAGATTCCTGTAGGTTATGGTTCGCTACAGAGAATAGGTCAATACGCCTTTTAAAAAAAATCCCCATTTTGATTGAAAACGACTCATATTATAACGTTTTTCATTTTGTGAAAAAGTAAAACTATTAAATTCAGTAAAAGATGAAGCGAACCGTTGGAAATTAAGAACAGCTGCATCATTAATCTTATCATGAAGTTCTTACTATCTCACTCATAAGCATTAAATTTTGTTTAACAATGTCGACGTGCAAAAATTAATTTGGGGGTTTGTCTTGAATAATATTCAATCCATGAAAAAATAAGGCAAAACGTGTTGTGGCAGAACTCACCAACTGGACAAGGATTCGTGTTGCATTCTGGTGTATCCATATTTCTGCCACGGCACCCGACCTGGAACCTATTATTTTGGTCAGTGCATTCCCGCCGTCGCATCGTAGTACCGGTATCACATGACTTGGTGCACGTTTGCACTTCAACCCAAGGTGACCAGTTTAAACGTACTATGTCCAATTTGCAGGTCAAAACAAAATGAAAGGGTTCAATTCCAACGGCATTTGAAAGAAAATAATTATTTAGAACTTTCCTCGAATCGACAGGGTTTGAAATTGGCTTTTAGTGTGGAAAAATCACCAGTAGTTGTAATTACAAGTAGTGGGTAATTGATGTAGACAAATGCTCATAGACCTGTTACAGCTTATTTAATGTAGGCCTATGTTATTACCAAAGAAAAAAAAGATGTCAGTCAGTCACTCAATAGTGTCTGACAGTGAAGTCTAGACAGGCGCGGATCCAGGATTTCTTAGGGGGGCCCAAATTTGAAATTATGGGTCCCCAAAAATCGCAACGACTCAGCCAGCCGCTGAATAAGCGGGGGGGGGGGGGGGGGGGGGGGGGGGGGGGGGGGTAAGAGGACATAATTTTTGTTGTTGGGGGGATTTCCGATTTGGACCCATCGACATTCCATTTTGTTCATCTATAAGATTAGTTTTTTTTTTTTTTATTAATTTTCTTTTGTTACTAAAAAAATAAATAAAAAGGGTTTTTTGCCCCCCAAAAACATACATATAAAAAAAAACTCAAGGAGGGGGGGGGGGGGGGGGGGGGGCTAACCTCCAAACTCCCCCCTCCCCCTGCGTACGCGCCTGTGCGAGCCAAATATTGGTACTTTATGGTGACCAGCATTGACGTAATGGGGGGGGGGTGCAGGAAGGTGCGATTTTCCCCCTCCATCCTCCGCAAAGCGCCGAAGCTTTGACGTTTTATTAAATCATTAGAGAAAGAAGACGATCCGTTGTACCGTTCTCGACTCTTAATCCTGGTCTGAATTCAGTTCCCCCTTCCCGCGCGCGCGAAGCGTGGAAGCTTTTCCATTCAATTAAATCATTAGAGAAAAAAGGCGATTCGTTGTACCGTTCTCGACTCTTAATCCTGGTCTGAATTCAGTTCCCCCCTCCCGCGCGCGCGAAGCGCGGAAGCTTTTCCATTTAATTAATTCATTAGAGAAAAAAGGCGATTCGTTGTACCGTTCTCGACTCTTAATCCTTCATTTTTGTCTAAATTCAGTTCACCAACCTCCTGCGCGAAGAGCGGAAGCTTTGACATTTCATTTAATTATTAGAGAAACAAGACGATTCGTTGTACCGTTCTCGAAATTAATCCTCGTCTGAATTCAGTTTACCCCCTCCCCCCCCCCCCCCTCACGCGCGAAGCGCGGAACCTATTACGTTTCTTTAAATCATTAGAGAAAGGAGACGATTCGTTGTAATGTTCTCGAAAATAATCCTCGTTTGAATACAGTTCCCCTTCACGCGCGAAGCGCGGAAGCTTTTACGTTTCATTAAATCATTGGAGAAAGAAGACGATTCGTTGTACCGTTCTCGAAAATAATCTTCGTCTAAATTCAGTTTACCCCCCCCCCTCCATTCACGCGCGAATCGCGGAAGCTATTACGTTTCATTAAATCATTAGAGAAAGAAAACGATTCGTTGTACTGTTCTCGACTCTTATTCCTCGTCTGAATTCAGTTTCCCCCTCATGGTACGCGCGAAGCACCATTCACCTCATGAAGTTTTTACTATCACACTCATATTAGTATTTAATTTTGTTTAACATAATGTTGAATTGCAAAAATTGATTTTTGGGTTTGTCTTGTGTGATTAAGAATCCATGAAAAAAAGGCATAACGTGTCATGGCGGAACTCACCTTCAACTGGACAAGGATTCGTGTTGCATTCTGGTGTATCCATATTTCTGCCACGGCACCCGACCTGGATCCTATTATTTTGGTCAGTGCATTCCCGCCGTCGCATCGTAGTACCGGTATCACAAGACTTGGTGCACGTTTGCACTTCAACCCAAGGTGACCAGTTTAAACGTACTATGTCCAATTTGCAGGTCAAAACAAAATGAAAGGGTTCAATTCCAACGGCATTAGAAAGAAAATAATTATTTAGAACTTTCCTCGAATCGACAGGGTTTGAAAATGGCTTTTAGTGTGGAAAAATCACCAGTAGTTGTAATTACAAGTAGTGGGTAATTGATGTAGACAAATGCTCATGGACCTGTTACAGCTCATTTAATGTAGGCCTATGTTATTACCAAAGAAAAAAAAGATGTCAGTCAGTCACTCAATAGTGTCTGACAGTGAAGTCTAGACAGGCGCGGATCCAGGATTTCTTAGGGGGGCCCAAATTTGAAATTATGGGTCCCCAAAAATCGCAACGACTCAGCCAGCCGCTGAATAAGCGGGGGGGGGGGGGGGGGGGGGGTAAGAGGACATTTTTTTTGGGGGGGATTTCCGATTTTGACCCATCGACATTCCATTCAGTTCATCTATAAGATTTTTTTTTTTTTTTTTTTGTTCTCATTAATTTTTTGTTATTAAAAAAAAATAATCAAAAGGGTTTTTTTCCCCCAAAAAAAACATACACATCAAAAAAACTCAAGGGGGGGGGGGGGGGGGGGGGGGGAGGGGGCGGGGGTTAACCCCCAAACTCCCACTCCCCCTGCGTACGCGCCTGTGCGAGCCAAATATTGGTACTTAATGGTGACCAGCATTGACGTAATGGTGGGGGGTGCAGGAAGGTGCGATTACCCCCCTCCATCCTCCGCAAAGTGCCGAAGCTTTGACGTTTCATGAAATTATTAGAGAAAGGAGACGATTAGTAGTACCGTTCTCGAAAATAATCCTCGTTTGAATACAGTCCCCCCCCCCTTCCCGCGCGAAGCGCGGAAGCTTTTACGTTCCATTAAATCATTAGAGAAAGAAGACGATTCGTTGTACCGTTCTCGACTCTTATTCCTCGTCCGAATTCAGTTTACCCCCCTCCCGCGCGAAGCGCGGAAGCTATTACGTTTCATTAAATCATTAGAGAAAGAAGACGATTCGTTGTACCGTTCTCGAAAATAATCCTCGTCTGAATTCAGTTTACCCCCCTCCCGTGCGAAGCGCGGAAGCTAATAGCTATTACGTTTCATTAAATCATTAGAGAAAGAAGACGATTCGTTGTACTATTCTCGACTCTTAACCCTTGTCTCAATTCAGTTCCCCCCCCCCCTCCCGCGCGAAAGCTTTGACGTTTCATTAAAATTATTTAAGAAAGAAGACGATTCGCTGTAACGTTCTCGTCTCTTAATCCTTGTCTCAGTTCCGTCTCCCCCCCCCCTCCTGCGCGAAGGCTTTGACATTCCATTAAATTAATAGAGAAAGAAGAAGATCGTTGTACCGTTTTTTACTCTTAATTCTTGTCTGAATTTCAAAAATGCTTTTTGTCTGCTCCTTTTTCTTCCTACGTCCTCTTCCTTTTCTATCCTCTCTTTTTTTGGCCGGCTTTTTTTTAAGGGGGGCCACCCCACCGCCCCCTGGCTACGCGCCTGCGGTCAGATGAACATATTTTGATACCTTGGCCGCCCCCGGAAACTCAGGGGTTTAAGGCAATAACTTACGGTCAGATAAGCATTCGGGGTCCCGCCTTAGGGCCCCTGTTTGGGGTCGAGGGTGCGGAAACCCCGGACTCTCAGGGGTTTTAGGCATTTTTGATTACGGTCAGATGAACATATTTTTATACCTTATTTGTGACACTGGCAGGACACTGATTGGCGTGAGGTCCAGCGGGCGGAGCCCCCAGAAGCTCAAGGGTTTTAGGCACTAATTTACGGTCGGATGAGTATCAAGGGGCCCGCCTTAGGGCCCTAATTGGGTCCCGGGGGCAGAGCCCCCGTAAGCTCAGGGGTTTTAGGCGTTTAATTACGGTCAGATGAGCATTTTTGATACCTTATTTTGTTGTGACACTGGCAGTTAACTATTCTTTCTTCCTTGCTCTCTTTCTTTCTATTTCTCTTTAATATTCTTTTTCAAAAAATTCGGGGGGGGGGGGGAGGGAGCTGGAAGCTCCCAATCCCCGCCGTTCCGCGGGCCCTGACATGTAGGCATCTTTAAGAGGCATATTTCTTGCCTGGCTGTAAATTTAGGAATTTGTCATTTTATAACAAACGCATACAAAAGTATAATTTACTAAAAAATGAGAAAAAAATCTCGGAAAATTATGTCATTTAAAGATTATGGGTAAACCACCGTTATGGAATTAGAAATAAACCACGATTAAATTTATTTTCCCCGAGCCCCCCCCCCTCCTTTTTTTTCCTTCTTTTTGTTTCTTTCTTTTTTTTCCTTTCCCCTTTTTTTTCCCCAGGGGGGGGGGGGGGGCCGAGCCATCCGGACGTCCCCCCCCCCCTGGATCCGCCACTGAGTCTAGAAGGTAAACGGGTTTCCTTGCATAATTTGAATACTGGGACACTGCTAACGTTTACATTTCACATAATAAGACATACATGTACATGACATATTCATAATTCCTGCAAAGTTCTACAGAATTTGATGTTGGCTGCAAAAGGGACATAATAGTATCTTTCATCCAGTCTCGACCTAGCCGGGCACCCCTATTTTTGGACGGTCCGGATTAGATTTCTCTAGGTTACAAAAAACCGTATCCCTATTCTGATTCAAAACAACTCTTATAACGCTTTTCACTTTGTGAAACAGTAAAATCTAATTTACCCATAAGTATTTAATTTTGTTTAAGAATGTTGATGTGCAATTTTTTTATTTGGGGGTTTGTCTTGAATGATACAGTATACAAATAATACATACCAGTGAGGGTATTAGTAAGAATTACCCACACAAGGTAAGGAGGGTGTTTATACTGTTTTGAAGTTACCGAGTGTGGGTAATTTTACGAATGACCGAACAAAATTATGTGTATTATTTGTTTCATAAGATTACGTTTTATTTGTTTTATAATATGATTTTACTAATGACTGGTCATTAGAATTGGATAATGACCGGTCATTATCCAAATTACGCGTTAGGCAAAATAAATGCCTGGTCACGTGTACGCTTTCATCCAATCATTTGATTAGGACCCACGTCATCATCTTATAAAACCTATTCAATCCATGAAAACATAAGGCATAACGTGTCATGGCGGAACTCAGCTTCAACTGGACAAGGATTCGTGTTGCATTCTGGTGTATCCATTTCCTCGCCAGGGCACCCGACCTGGATCCTACCACCTTGGTCAGTGCATTCCCGCCGTCGCGTCGTAGTACCGTTATCACATGACTTGGTGCACGTTTGCACTTCAACCCAAGGTGACCAGTTTAAACGTACTGTGTCCAATTTGCAGGTCAAACAAAATATAAAGGTCAAGTTCCAACGGTATTCGAAAGACAATACAATTTAGAACTTTAAGAATGTTGATGTGCAAATTTTTTATTTGGGGGTTTGTCTTGAATGATACAGTATACAAATAATACATACCAGTGAGGGTATTAGTAAGAATTACCCACACAAGGTAAGGAGGGTGTTTATACTGTTTTGAAGTTACCGAGTGTGGGTAATTTTACGAATGACCGAACAAAATTATGTGTATTATTTGTTTCATAAGATTATGTTTTATTTGTTTTATAATATGATTTTACTAATGACTGGTCATTAGAATTGGATAATGACCGGTCATTATCCAAATTACGCGTTAGGCAAAATAAATGCCTGGTCACGTGTACGCTTTCATCCAATCATTTGATTAGGACCCACGTCATCATCTTATAAAACCTATTCAATCCATGAAAACATAAGGCATAACGTGTCATGGCGGAACTCACCTTCAACTGGACAAGGATTCGTGTTGCATTCTGGTGTATCCGTTTCCTCGCCAGGGCACCCGACCTGGATCCTACCACCTTGGTCTGTGCATTTCCGCCGTCGCGTCGTAGTACCGTTATCACATGACTTGGTGCACGTTTGCACTTCAACCCAAGGTGACCAGTTTAAACGTACTGTGTCCAATTTGCAGGTCAAACAAAATATAAAGGTCAAGTTCCAACGGTATTCGAAAGACAATACAATTTAGAACTTCACTTAAAACGAAAGGGTTTTAAAATAGCTTTTTGTGGGGGAAAAAAGACCATCAGTTGTCGAATCGACATAATAAGTGGTTGCAAACACCCAACCGAACCGTTGGAAATAAAGAACAGCTGCATCATTCACCTCATGAAGATTTTACTATCTCACTCATATTTATAATAATTAATCGATGTCACGGTGTTGCCATTAACATTTCGAAGTCGTACAAAATGACATGCCCTTTCACATTCGTGAATCGAGGATTATTTTGCCGTCGCAAAATGGCATAAAAAAACAAACGAACCCACAAACAACATCGACAATGATAAATTATAATGATGGGGGGGGGGGGTGGACGCTCGAGGTGAAATATGTAAATGCGTCTTCTTTCATCTCTCTCTCTCTCTCTCTTTCCTCGCCTTTTCACCTCTGGATTGAAGAGGCATATTCCCCTGTGCCCCCAATATCTATACGCGATACGTAGCATGTGTCCCTGGATCTACCCCTGTTCTAGAGAATTAGGTCTTACTCCGAGATCGGAGGTGGTTTTTCTTACCCCTCTGTGACCCACGTGTATCTCCGCATTGACACGGTTCTGTCTCTTCGGTCGGAAACAGACCCTTGGCTCGTATACACCTTCGCATGCCTACTATGCAAAACCGATATCGGGTGTGCATTGAAGTGGTGCACGAGCACCTCGCCCATGGCGTCCAGTTTGAGTAAATCATTTCGCCCATTGCTATACCTATAGTGAAGCCAGAAAACAAACAAACAATTATACAAACGCACAAACAATCAAATATTGTTTACTTTTCAATTCAGTTATCCGAAAAACGTGATCGCGACTGCTTTAAAAATTTCAACCTGGGCAATATCATTAGCCTTGTCTATTATCTATTGGAGTGTGCAAAAGTGACGATGACATATCGCGTAATCCGGACATTATTTCCTTGGGAGTGATGGCTTGTTGTGGGGTGTTGGCAGCGTAATAACACGAAAATTATCACACAATTTCACTCTGTATATCTAATATCATGTGTCTTGGAATATCTAGTCAGCCATTTTTGTATTTCCCTGCCCGAATGGTTTTGGGCCGTGATGATCGTAATTATTGGTTAGCCATTAGATTCGTCTGAATATGTGTGTACCATTTTCTGGATATGATGGAAAATGTCGAATTTATTTTGTAATTAAGAACCCCGTGGAAGCAGAAATAATTTAAATTATCCTTGAGCTGATTTTCCGAAATTCATTGAGATAAATTTAGATGTTATTGTTTAGATATATGGAAACAGAATATAATGAAAACATTGAGTATATAACCGGGGGGTAATAATGAATAAGCGTTCAAATGGCTTGTCAAATGGCTCGCCATCATACTCCATAGATTTAAAAGACCGGTTTTAACATCAGCTTCTATAGATTTGTCCTGTTTTTGTAGTCTGGATGTCATCAATAAATAATATATAGAAAAGGCCAGGAAATTGCGCTTTGACATACTATCCCATCGATTTATGACTTAATCAATACCAAAAGGATTAAATTTGTGATTATTTGAATGATTTGAATTGATTAGAATTGATATAAATCGAATAAAATTTGGATTAAAATTACGAAAATATGTCATCAATCATTTTCAAAGATTGTGCTCACTGTACGTACGGCTCTATCTTTTCGACTTACGTATTGCTCTTCTTAACCTGACGTGATTACTGCTAGAATTTCTGCATGCGAGTGACTGGTTGAACACAGAACAACCGTCATCATCCGTCGTGGTCTTCGACGTCGAATCGTTATCGTATGCGATGTATCCGTATGCGTCGACGGCCGCTGCTGAGTTGTCTTCATCACGGTATTGATGTAGGATTTCTGCTGGATCCGTCAATGCGTACGAGAAGGCTGGTATCGATGAAGGGTCTAATTCGGTTTTAAAGTCTGTTTTTTTTTAAAAGAGACGTTTGAAATCCGCATAAGCATCTACATGTTTTGGTGATTTTTTGTTGAATAAAATCAATAGTAGTCTTAGACTAAATGAAAGACATGTATAGCTGTAGAATCTGAAATTGTTTTTTTTATAAGAAATGAACTATATTTCTCAATACTTTGTACGAATTAGAGAAATACAAAAATACCTCTCACCTCGAATATGATGATGATGATGATGATAAAGGTGATGATGGTGATGATGATGATGATAATGGTGATGACGATGATGATGATGAAGGTGATAATGGTGATGATGATGATGATAATGGTGATGACGATGATGATGATGAAGGTGATGATGGTGATGATGATGATGATGATAATGGCGATAGTACTTATGATGATGACGATGATGATGATGATAATGATGATGATGGTGATGACGATGATGATGATGATAAAGGTGATGATGGTGATGATGATGATGATGATGATAATGGTGATGACGATGATGATGATAAAGGTGATGATGGTGATGATGATGATGATGATGATAATGGCGATAGTTATGATGATGACGATGATGATGATGATAATGATGATGATGGTTATGATGATGATAATGATGATGGTGATAATGATGATGATGATATATACATCATAACGCAAATCAACTTACATGAACATGGTACCAGTTTACAAGGCCGTCTGGTTATCATACTCTTGTTACCTCTGCAACCAAAGACGTTTGAATGCATCGTTTGTATCCTTCTCTCGCTCTGGAGAGAAGGAATTAAGCAATCTCGCCTCCGGGTCTGTTCTCCCTCTCCACACGATGCACTGCATAGAGACCATGGCTGCCATGGTCCCATACCACCCAGTGACTTGCAGAGAAGTACTGTAAAAATCACAAAAAGCAAACGTCGTTTATCCAAAAAATTTAGACGATTTAGCAGAAAACGCATAGCATAGATTGGTAGATAGATCTAGTCACGAGCAACATGATATGAAATGCTAAAACCGATGGCTCAAGACCAAGGTACTTGGTGTTGGAGAGACTCTTGTTGCAGAATTCTTGTTGGGTCCCTTGTCATACTGACGGATCACTATTGATGAACAAAAATAAATGCATCAAAATTCTCCAACCATCGTGAAAATTCGTTATTTATGATAATCATTGTCCAATATAGGTCTACATCTAGAAGTTGTAGATCTAATCAACTGTTCGAAAACGAACCGTGGTTATAGATCTAGACCTAGATGTAGATTTTAGATAATTATATAGACCTAGGTTGATTAGGAGAAATATAATTAGACCCCTAGGATGATCTAGACTTTCATAACAATTTAAAATATAGATCTAGCGTATAGACTCTAGACCTAATTAAACTTCTTAAAATTGCAGTTTTAAATAACCTTCCAGATATAGGCCTACAACTAAAAGTACAAGCTGCCCGGGCACACAATGCTGGGTAGATTTAGGCCTAGATCTTTGGCATAATTATCATGTAGCCTACATGTAAGCCTGTCATATTTTAAATAGCACGAACCATAAAGAAATATTTGTCTTTTAAACATTCTGAAATATTGCATGTAAACTTTTACAGGTTTAAATAAATTGTCCGGACACACAACGTCTTGGTAGGTATAGAGTCTATGCATAGATCTACATGTAGGCCTATACGGTATGGGTATGCACTCACCTTCAAAGCAACAAATAACCAGCAACAAGAACAAATTCCTGTCTCTTTCTACTAGTGATAATCGAACGACCATGGCATTGCATACGGCACTACAAGACGCATTCTTATTCAGCAAGAAGAGAAGACAACTCACAAACAATGTCTAGTAAAAAAAAAATGTCTAAAATCACGAAATCAAAGTAGAAAGATCAATAATAATATCATTCACTTTGCACGTGAGTCTTTGTATCCACTATAATATTATTTTGGAAATGGTTACTACGCGCAAGGATTACGTCACAATTTAACGCGTATTTTATTTCGCGCCAGTCTAGTTGCTAACACCGCAAAAGATGTCTGCGAAGCTAGCACGTCGCACTATTATTACGTCACAAAGCATCCAGGAGGATTGATTGAGAGTTGTTGTTTTGCTTATATCAATCTTATTTGCAGTATGTAAGGAAATGTGAAAAGGTTGCCCATAAATCCGAGTTTACATTTTGTTTGACGTTTAAGGTTATGAATCGCGTTGCGCCGTTTTTTGACAAGTAAACGTTTTACAGTGCATCCCAGAAAAAAGAAACCGAGAATTTTCGATGTTTTATCAATACTTAATCACGATCATGATTAATAAATGACACACATTTGTAAAGCTTAGATCCTCTTCTTTCATTTGAAGCAACTCATATGATGCGTATTTTACGCATGGGTGATTAAAGATAAAGACCCGTTATGATCATTCGATTGTATTGTTAAAGAAACGTTGTGGAATCAATCAGAAAAGGTTGATCATCTAGCATATAAGTATTGGTGTGTACTGCAAGGTTCTGAAATCTTCAAAATGATAAGAAATTTGGCCCAGTCTTCGTAAAGTTACAAACACGTACACAGAAAGATGTCTATATAGGACTTCGCACACGTGCGCGACATGTGCGTTTATCTCTCACAGTCCAATAGATAAACTACTTTACCAAATATATCAATTAGTAGGCGGTTTCCCGGCAAAATTTGTATCATCATGTATAGTAAAAACATATTTTTTCACATGATTGGTAATAAAGAGCTTCCATTTCATTTTTTTAAATTGGGGCGTTTTCAATACTGGTCTTTACCTTTAAAAACAATTTGAAGAGAGAAAAACCAAAAAGTCTTTTGGCGGGCGGTTTCTGAATTTCAAAGAGAAAATCACATTTCTAGAAATTTCATTTTCTGGCCCTTCATATGACACCTATATCAGGAAAGATGAGTCAGTAATAACAAATTTCTGTTTGTTAAAAAAGAAAATGCTTGTATTTCAATAATTTAACTAAACGAATTCGTTTCCACTGGCTGCCTGCCGTAGCAACAAACAGAATTGACAAAAGACTTAACTCCGTTTCGTTGACGCTCAGACATGCACAAAGAAGACGAAAGACTTGATGCACCGGGCTGATCTATCGTCAACGAAACGGAGTTAAGTTTAACAATTAAGCACTGATTCGAGCACTCTTTTCTCGTGCTTTTTCCCACTATATTTGTCGTCTCATCGCATATTTGTTTGTGATATAATTATTCTTGTATTATGTTTTGCATGAGAAATAAAATCATTTGAATCAAATCAATTTAGGACAATTCATTGGTCAATGTCAACTTCAACTTCATTCACGCACCAAATTAAGTCCGGCTCGTAGTACACAAAAATCAGGCCCGTATTGACTTTACACACCGGACTTAGGAGGTGTTTTCAAAAGGAGGGAACATGCATATGCGTACCCTAAATAACACTGAGTGGGGGAGGGGAGGGGGGTGGGGCGGGCCACTGGCAAAAAAGCCGTCAAGGATAAAACGAGTTGCTATACCTGCAAAACCTGAATTTGGCATAGGAAGTATTCTTCTTCTTCTTCTTCTTCTATTTTTTTCTTCTTCTTTTTCTTCTTCTTCTTCTTCTTCTTCTCCTTCTTCTTCTTCTTCTTCTTCTTCTTCTTCTTCTTCTTCTTCTTCTTAGTATAAATTAGATTATGAATTTCACAAATTACAAAACAATTTGGTGTTATTTCATAAGATATGGTCGTACAATAATGTACTCTTTCTTTCAGATGATATTGATCTCACATGGTTGATTTAATTGTTGTTTGTGATAAGTTTGTCTTGAGAAGAAGCTCATAGTTGGAAGTTATGAATTCCCATAATTTAATCGTTTTGAAACACTCTATGGATGTGTAATCATTTGTAATCAGTGTTTAGTACAATTTATGTTTTTTCTCAATTTCTACCGTCGAAATTATTGTTTTTTTATGAATTGTTTAATGGTTACTTTCTCATGTATTACGTACTACTTGTTGTTGATTATTGGTATATGATTCACAAACACTTATTATATTAAGTGCATCACTGTTATTTTTTTATCTGTTTTTATTATTATATGTATTGTAAATAAAGTTTTACTTTCAAAAGTCAAAAAAAGTCTTCTTCTTCTTCTTCTTCTTCTTCTTCTTCTTCTTCTTCTTCTTCTTCTTCTTCTTCTTCTTCTTCTTCTTCTTCTTCTTCTTCTTCTTCTTCTTCTTCTTCTTCTTCTTCTTCTTCTTCTTCTTTCTTCTTCTTCTTCTTCTTCTTCTTCTTCTTCTTCTTCTTCTTCTTCTTCTTCTTCTTCTTCTTCTTCTTCTTCTTCTTCTTCTTCTTCTTCTTCTTCTTCTTCTTCTTCTTCTTCTTCTTCTTCTTCTTCTTCTTCTTCTTCTTCTTCTTCTTCTTCTTCTTCTTCTTCTTCTTCTTCTTCTTCTTCTTCTTCTTCTTCTTCTTCTTCTTCTTCTTCTTCTTCTTCTTCTTCTTCTTCTTCTTCTTCTTCTTCTTCTTCTTCTTCTTCTTCTTCTTCTTCTTCTTCTTAGTATAAATTAGACCTTTTTTTTCTGTAAACGTTTGCTTGGTTGACACTACCGTCCTATTGTTCTGATCGCAAATTCGACACCAACCAACATAACCAACATAACATAGTGGAACTCTTAATTTTTGTCATTATGGCCAGTCTTTTGAAGCAGATCGTTAGTGGATCAGAAAGTGGCTGCACAGTGACAATTCATGGTAATTTTAATTCATTGTTTAGTCATCTTAGGGAGTATTCCCCTTCGAAATTGTTCGTTCAAATTTGTCTAGACTCTGTGCATCGTCTTATCGCTGTCCCATCCATTCGATTTCACGTTTGACCTGTCGGAATAAATAAGGAGACGGCGACATCGCGCGCGCCGCGGCATGGCCATGTCGATGATGCAGCGACGCGCGACGTGAATTCATTTTGTTTACCCATATGTCGCGCCAAGCCGCCAACTACGCTGCTCATGTAATTGAGTATCCAAACTTCACGTACATTTTAAAGTTAGTCTACTAAGAATGTGGTATATCATCCATCATTCTGAGTAGATAAATTTGTACGCCAAACAATGAAAAGCAAAGCAAAAAGTTTTACAACTACTCTACAAAAGTACAAGTTAACACAACTCTCAAAATGGACAACTCAAAAGTTTGTCTTGTTAATTTCACACCAGCAAGTTCAGCAACACTAGCAACAAAAATGTATGAAAGAGTTATGACAGGGGGTGCGGTGGGAGGCATAAGTAGTACTTGGTCAGGATGTTGTCCTTGATCTTGGCAAAGATGTCATTTATTGGTAGACTTGGCCTTAAGGGCTCCCTCGAAATGTTTTTTATGATATTATTCGAGGGAGCCTTAATTTGCACAATGGTGATGACCTCTGACTGGCACTTCCGTGATTGTGCTGCTTCTGTATAATGCGCTGTATGAGTGTTATTCAGCGCATTATACGGAAGCAGCACATTTACGAAGTGCCAGTCAGAGGTCATCACCATTGTGTAGAGATCGTGGATTCACACGGTACACGTGAAAAGGGAGCTGAGCTGTATCGGTCTGGTAAGAAAATTGCTTTTAATTTTTTATTTTTACCTCTGATTATGATATTCTGGGTGTAGTTACGATCACAAGTCCCACACAATTTATCAAAGCCACTGTCCAATATTGGTCGGGTGCGGGAAAGTGTGATTTTGGACACATTTTTGATGTTGTTTACCTACCTCTCCGTGGGACCCTATGGGAGCAAATTAAGGCTCCCTCAAATAATAATAAACACAATGGTGATGACCTCTGACTGGCACTTCCGTGATTGTGCTGCTTCTGTATAATGCGCTGTATGAGTGTTATTCAGCGCATTATACGGAAGCAGCACATTTACGAAGTGCCAGTCAGAGGTCATCACCATTGTGTAGAGATCGTGGATTCACACGGTACACGTGAAAAGGGAGCTGAGCTGCATCGGTCTGGTAAGAAAATTGCTTTTAATTTTTTATTTTTACCTCTGATTATGATATTCTGGGTGTAGTAGTTACGATCACAAGTCCCACACAATTTATCAAAGCCACTGTCCAATATTGGTCGGGTGCGGGAAAGTGTGATTTTGGACACATTTTTGATGATGTTTACCTACCTCTCCGTGGGACCCTATGGGAGCAAATTAAGGCTCCCTCGATTAATATTATAAAAAACATTTCGAGGGAGCCCTTAAGGCTAGGTAGACTGGTTAACAAAACTCGGACCATACACACTTTTAGTAATCAGTTATAGCTTCGTTATGGCTGGTAGAAAAAACATTTGCAATTGATGCAAAATAGAAAAAAAGATAAAGGCGAGGAAATGGAAAACTTGAATTTTGAGAGAGATTTTTCTCTATATGAAGTAATCAAATTCAAATATCATTCTGATCTTGTGTATTTTATCTTCTTTTCACTTACAGATACAGTGGATCATAGTGGCAGATACCTGCTCAAATGCTTCTTGAAAGAAATGGCACAGAGGTAAATATATATCTGTTTGAAATTCACAATATTTTAGAACATTTGGTCGCTGGATCACCTCGTATGACTTTCGTTACTTGGATGGCATGGAGTCTCCGGACGATATGGTACAATCTATCCAGAGTGTACTAGGGCAAGCTTATCGGCAACATTTTCCGCTGGTTGTTCGTCGCCGTTCACCTAATGACAAGCCCTGGATCACGGACAGGTTGAAATCCCTCATCCGTAAGAGACAACGTGCGTTTGAGTTAGCTGACAAAACAACCTTCATGAAACTTCGGAACCAGATTCAGCGCAAGATAAAGCAGCGGAAGTCGGTTTTCTACCAGAAGAAGATTGCAGCCATGAAAAAATCAAGCCCTGGCAAATGGCACCGACAACTCCGCTCCCTCGCTGGCCTGAATAAACGGTCTTCCTTCAATTTTCCGAACGACTTTGGCACAAGCCCTTCTGAGCAGGCAAAACACATCAATGACTTCTTTGCGAATATTTGCCGTGAATTGCCTGCCTTGGATATTTCGTCTTGTCCAGCCTTTCTACCTGCCAGAAGGCCACCTCCTAGAATTCAGAGATTCAAGATCTTTGAGATGCTGAAAAAACTGAATCCTTCTAAGGCTTTCCACCCTGAGGACATCCCTATACAACTGATAAGAGAATTTGCCTTCGAACTTTCCGCTCCTTTGTCAGTCATCTTTAATGTCGTTCTAGATCGAGGTTCCTTTCCGCCTCGTTGGAAGCGCTCTGTCATAACACCGATACCAAAGTCCTATCCAGTGACCTGCTGTTCTGACTTGAGACCTATTTCAATTACACCAATACTGGCGCGTGTGTTTGAAGGTTTTCTTTCGCAGTTCCTAATTAGAGACTTAACACCTCACCTGGATCCGCGTCAGTTCGGCAACATAAGGGGAAGTTCAACCACTCACTACTTGGTGAGCCTCATGGATACCATCCTCCGTGGCTTGGACAAGCCTAGGAAATTTGCTACACTCTGCACGATAGATTTTTCAAAGGCCTTTGACCGCGTCAATCATAATGTTGTGATACACAAACTCATCAAGTATGGTATTGATGAAGCAATCTTATCAACTGTAATTAGCTTCTTGAGTGATCGAACCCAGGCAGTCAGAATCGGTCCATGTATCTCCGAAGAATTATCGCTGACCTGCGGAGTGCCTCAAGGGACCAAGCTGGGTCCTTTGATATTTCTAACGCTGGTAAACGACGCTCTGATGGATTTCGATCAACGGTGGAAATATGTGGACGATTTGAGCATTCTTGAGGTCCGCTCCACTTCTGGCGTCTCGACGTTAGCGGATCATCTCGACAAGCTGACATGTTGGAGTAAGGAAAATGACATAAAATTCAACGTTCAGAAAAGTAAGACCATGTCAATTGACTTCTCCAAAAACAGAGCGAATCCTCCGAGCTTACATCTGAATAATCAACCGATGGAGGACACGAATTGCCTGAAGCTGCTTGGCGTTCTTATACAGGCGAATCTCAAATGGGATAGCCATATCTCCGACGTGGTTTCAAGAGCTGGAAGGAGAATATTCATGATTTGTCGTCTGCGGAAAGCGTCAGTCCCGATGCACGACCTAGTGAATATATATTCCACATATATTCGTCCGTTATTAGAATACGCATCTCCATTGTGGTCTACAAGCATAACAACAAATCAAATCAATGATATTGAGAGGATCCAAAAGCGTATATGTCGCATCATCCTGAGGGATCAGTACATCTCCTATGAACACGCTTTGGAAACACTTGGCATCAGTCGTATGTCCGAGCGACATGAGCAGTTGCTGCTCTCCTTTGCCAAGAGCCTGTTGGCTTCTTCCAGGCATCGAGACTTCCTTCCGCCCCTACGCAGCGAAATATCCTCCCGGCGTCTACATTACTCGCACCACTTGGATACCCCCATGTGTAGGACTGCTCGGTACCGCTCGTCAACAATGCCCTCTGCAATATTAAAGACTGCTTAACGAGAATCTATAAATCGTTTCATTATTTTATTAATTCATTAGTGTTCCTTTTTTTTTAAAACTTCAATTGTATGCCCTTGCTAAATATTAATGTTGTGCTTTTTATCTATAATATAATGTGCAATATCTTATACGAAATTATGTATATTGTTATTCAAATATCAATTTTTTCTTGTTTCAGATGAATGATGTCATTACAATTAACAATAGCAATTGTTAAATACACTCTGTACTATATTTTTTTAGACAAATAACTTTCTTATTCTCATGCATATTAATAGATATTTGGTTTTAAACAAACCGGTATAATAACACGTTTGCAATATACACTTTTATCCAATTTACTCTCAGACTGCCTAAAACTGTAAACATATTTTAATCCGTTGTTTCATTAGGCCTTTAGTGTTCCTTTTTTTTATATATTTTTTTTTTAATACAAATTCATGCCCTTGCCAATTATTTGACTTGGGTCTTTTTTTCCAAAGTAATGTGCAATATCTAATTCGAAATTACACTATATTGTGATATTGTTATGTAAATACTCATTTTAATTTTATTTGAACAACTTTCTCGATCTAGATGAATGCTGTCATTACATTTATATTAAAGGGGAAAACGGAATAGAGACTGTCATTTTGACTTTTACGGTTTAATTTCATCCCATCCAATAGGTTTTTTTTTAATGCTTAATTTCATTTTTTGTAATAGAAATGTTTGTTTAGCAATTGTTAAATACTTTCTCAACTCTTTCGGTCAAACAACTTCCTTTTTTCTTCTCCATTCTCTCCTCCCCACCGTCTTGGTTCTTCAACATGAAAGTATATTATTACATTACTCTATAACTTTGTTTTGCGATTTCGATTTCATCTTACAATGACTTACAATATGTATGTTTTGTATATGTTTATATCTCTCTATATTTTTAACTTGTTTGTAAATTGAACATTTTCAGCCTGCGAGCTGCTTGTTTGATGTGATTTCTCAATAAACCAAACCAATTCAATCCAATTCAAAACATGGCATACATGTATGTACAGGTGTAGATAATAACAAAAATTAAAAATAAAAGAAATGAACCCCCGATAGCTGTCTTTCATACAAGTTCTCCGTACATTTCTATTGTGAACTTGTCCGTTAAGTAATTTTTGTGTGTTAAAAAATTATATTAATTAAATAAAAGGTGTTAAAAAAAGAAGACCTTTTCGAGTTTTAATGAATTTGATCGCATTTAGTCATATCTTTAAACCTTGTCATGTTCTACATGTGTAATAAAATTGTATTCAGTGTCTTTAAAAATGTATGAACAGAAGGAAACAAATTTTCTAAAATGTGTGTTTAATCATTTTTCTTGCGTGAGCCTGCTGAATGTCATTTGGATGTCAGGAATTTTCAAATGAAAATTTGCCTGTAGGTTGAAACGTTATCTCCTCATTCTCTTTTTTATTTGTCTTTATTTTGATACACTTAATTTTTCATTTATTTTTGATCTTTTTTAATTTCAGATTATTTTTCTTCTTTCGGAATAGTGTTGCTATAAAAAAAGAAAAATGGTATGTTGCCAATTGATGAAGAAAAGCTGAGCTTTTAACGAAACAAGACTGTTTTCATGATAGGATGCATTTCTCCTTCTTCTTGTACAAATGTGCATTGTTTTATCAGTCTTTAGCCCATTCAGTATGCCATGTTTTTCTCAACAGTAACACACATCTTTAATATGGTACTATGCACCACATAAGATATAGCAACAGTATTGAAAATATTAAAGTATTTTGCTGATGTTACTTTCAGGGTTGATGAGATTCACCTGTTTGCGTTTGACCAAGCCCCCGATGCCCTCTTAGCTGGTACTGATCCAGAGACAAGGAGGAAGGTCAAAGGTCATGATGGATGGACTGACCCTCAGGGCTGGAATCAGGATCGGTAGGTTTCATACTTTCATTCTATTGCTTTTTTCCTGATCGTTTGACCATCTAATTCCATTCATCCCAATTCCAATCATTTTCTTCTATCAAGGGTCGAGAGACAGCAAGTTGGCTGCATGTCAAACCTTCTTCAGTGACCACTCCTTGTCTATGAACACCACATTTTTATATTTCCCTTGAACCTGCCATACTTCCATAAATAAGAGTCTGTGGATACCCCCACCCACACCTTGACTACTACCCCTTAGGACAACTACACTGAAGCACTCTAAACGACTACACACTTGTAAATACTACCTTCTACTGAGTGAGGGGTTGTTATTTAGGAAGTTACATTTCATTTTATATTATTTTATTTTATTTTATTTTATTTTATTTTATTTTATTTTACTTTATTTCATTTTATTTATTTGTATTTCATATTTTATTATCATTCTTCTTCTTCTTCTTCTTCTTCTTCTTCTTCTTCTTCTTTTTCAGGGGGGGGGGGGGGGGGGGTTAGTTCTAAACTTGTATGGGAGGAGGATATTTATCCGGGGGCAGAGGTGAAGGGTTACATGTTTTAGGAGGGTAGGTGTACGGGGATGGTACTTCCGGGGAATAGTTGTCCTAGAATCTTCTGCTAAATCATGGCTACAGATATATGCTTTCTACGGCAACATGCAAGAATCTTGTGTACCCCATCAAAGAAAGGAGGGGGTTAGAGGGGGAGGGGGGGGGGTGGGGGCGTTAGACTAGATTTCCACGGTGAGAGACCCAATGTTAGCTGTTGTTTGAGGGTTGTTGTCTAGAAGTGCCAGTTAAATCATGCTTATTTGTTATGTAGAGGTCCTGTGGTCGTGGTCGAGTGGTTAAGTCGCCAGGCTATTAATCACAAGGTCCACGGTTTGAGACCCTCTGCGGCACTAACGTCCTTTGGCAAGACATTGATTTACATTTGCCACACTCAACCCAGGTGGTGTAAATGGGTACCTGGCAGGAATTAATTCTTTGAAATGCTAGAGCGCCGTAATGGCAGCACAGCCAAAGCAGGGGGTAATAATCTCCAAGTTTGGAAGCGCTTAGTGATTGTAATAAGCGCAGTATATGAGTATTATTATTATTATTGTTATTATCTTATCAGCAACGTGATACCATCCAACTACAATGCAGTCCAGCTCTCGTCGGAGAAGAGTCTAGTGGAGCATGTGAAGGACAGGAAGGGATCGGGCAGCGGCCAAATTGCAGTGGTCATCGATTCCCTCACACCGTATATCCTGCACCGGTCAGCCCCGTTCACTTGCAAGAGCCTTCATGCATTGACCCATCTTCCAGAAACATCAGGTAAAGAATATTTTAAATATTATGTTTAATAGATGATTGTTTTACTTGACTGCTGAGAAAGCATGTATCAGGCCTGTAAATTACCTGATTTAAATCAGTTTCCCGATTTAAAAAAAAAAAAAATCTGATTTTTTCCTGATTTTCCTTTTTCTTTTTTTCTTCTTCCCAATTTTATCCTGATTTTTGATTTTTCCCTTATTTTATCCATTCTTCCCTATTTTTCCCTATATTTCCCTATTTTTCCCTATATTTCCCTATTTTTCTCAATTTTCTTATTTAAAAGGGGGGAATGTTGTTAGATTCCATTTTTCCCCCCGAATCCTCTTCTTTTTTCACTCAAGGGGGGCGCGGTTGAGGGGAACTCCCCCCTTTTTTTTAGTGCCCACTATCACCCCTGATGTATACACTTGTAACTGGAAGTAAGCAACCAGGGGACCGACAGCTATGATTCCTCCGAGGGACTTGGTAATGAGGATTAATATCTTACCAAAGGGCACAAGCACATTGACTTGGTTTTGAACCAAGGACCTCTCGGTTATGAAACTACTGCTCTACTACTGAGCCTATGCGAATCGAGAATTGATTTAATTTGTTTTACATGAATGTGGGGGTGGGGGGGGGGGGCCTATTTATAAGCAATTTGCTTCTTTGAGGTCCTGGCCATATATTTGTTTGTATTTGGTATGTTTTATGTATTCTATTTTCTATTGTATGTTTTGCTTTTACATGAACTGTATTGTAATAATAATAATAATAACTTTAACTTTTATAGCGCTTTTTGTAAGACATTTATATCAAAGCGCTTTACAATATTGATACAATTAAAACTAAACAGAGTAATGACAAGAAAACAAATTTAAAGTGAAATTATGAAACATGAGATAACAAGGTAAGGTAACAATTTAAGAACTAGGTTGAATATGCATTTTCCATTAGGTAGGTTTTTAATTTTGATCTAAACAGAGTAATATCAGAGATGCAACGAATGGAGGCTGGAAGAGAATTCCACAAACGTGGAGCAGAGCCTGAATGGACCTATCACCAAAGTATTTTGTTTTTGCTTTTTTATTGGTCAAGAGAGTTTGATTTGCAGAACGAAGGGGCCTATTGGGTGTGTATAATTGAATCAGTTCAGAAAGATAATTTGGGGCATGACCATGTAGACACTTGTATATGGTTTAATTAAATTAAATTCAATTCTAAGATCAATTCCATGTAGCTAATGTATTCTGAGATGTATAAATTGTATAGACCAGTTTGTTGTTACCACAAGGTAAAAATGATCCCTAAATATCAACAGATCGTTTAAACATGGAGAAGACCCACTTTGAGCATTTTAGAATGATCACTGCAAAAGTGATGGAAGTGCTTCATGAATACCTTTTGTTTGCCCTCTTGAGAACAATACTTCCGCCCGAGTATCGTAGCATGTACTGCCAGTACATAAATGAATTCCGATTACATAACTTTCATGAGCACGAATCCAGTATTTGTCTCGCCGTTTTTGAATATTTTGTACAGATCACCTTTATTCTGCCATGGGCACGTTATATCTCCGATCTGGCTTTTTACCATAACTTGGCCCAGTGGACATAACAAGGCACTCAAGCATTCAATATCTGATCCTCTTTACTCCAGAATTCCAGGTCACCCAGGTGGTCAGTTTGATCCATTCCGACGTCCATGACGACTCCGTCCTAAGGGCCATCGGTCACCTATCCTCAACGGTCATCCATGTATCGGCCAACATGTCCCTAGCCCCGCTGGACAGGGAACCCATGGGATACTGTGACATCCAACACAAGAGAGCATCAGGGAAAGTATTACAAAAGGTGGGTACAAACTGCTTTAGTGACTATCTGTCTACAAGGCCACATTTTTTGTTTCCCTTGAAAATTGTTTCTCATTGAAACATATACTAAAGGAACCTGTCTACAAAGACCACCTGTCTATAAGGACCACTTATGTTTCCCTTGGGCAGTCACTATAGACAGGTTCGACTGTATTTAGTTTGTGGGCACAAACCCTTGTCATCAGGGAAAGTATTACAAAAGGTGGGTGGAATGCTCCCCGGGGAGTGGAAAATGTGCATACATTGTGGGGGGTAAGCCTGAATCTGATGACCTGGGTAATAATATATCTGTAAAGCGCTAAGGCACATCATTGTTTCGATGTATTGGGCGCTATATAAAGGAGGAGTATTATTAATTTTAAGTTTGCAGGCACAAACCCTTGTCTACCTTAGTGCGTAACAGAGGGTCTGAACTCTAAGACTAAGCAGACAGCATGGTCTACTGCACCCCATAGGCTCTGCACTCTAAAAGAGTCAGGCTCTGCCCATGACTGTTGGTATTGTAGGACTGTCTTGCGACGACTCACGATGACCCTCGATTTGCCCAAATTTTCTGTCTTGTCATGGCACAAATGCGTCGTGGGTTTGTTGTGACCAGGCCTTAAAGGCCGTCACTCAGTAATAGCCTGATTAAAATATCCCATGACCCCATTTTTTTGCAGCATCGGTACAGTCAAACCTGGTATAGCAACCACCTGTATAGAAAGACCACCTGTATACAAAGGACACATTTTTTGTTTCCCTTGAAAATGATTTCTCATTGAAACATGTACTAAAGAAACCTGTCTACAAAGACCACCTGTCTATAAGGACCACTTATGTTTCCCTTGGGCGGTCGCTATAGACGGGTTTCCATAAAGACCACATTTTTTATTTCTCTTTAAAATGGGCTCTCATTGAAACCTGTAGTAAAGGAACCTGTGCCTACAGAATACTTGCATATAAAGACCACTTTTCTTGTCTCCCTGGAGCGGTCTTTATATACAGGTTTCACTGTATTAGAACTATTTGGCGTAAAGAATGCTGAATGATTTGATGATTGTTTATTTTTTCTTTCAGAGAGAAGGATATAGCGTAGGAGAAAACTATCAAATCATCACGTTCCTTGGCTTACCAAGTACTAATACTACATCAGAGCCAGAGCATCAGGTAAACACTTAAAGGGACTTGGTAACATTGTTCAGATGAGAGATAGTGGTGCTAAGGTAGTGACTCCAATGCTAGATGTACAATTAAAGATAATCTGAATATTTGAGTGAAAACGGACCATTATTCATGGTACAAATTGAGAAAAATGATCTGATCGATTCCTTAATTCTCCCAACTATATTATTAAAATTTAATTACATTTTAGGTGAATGGAAATCATCACAAAGCAATAAAATGGCTCTACATTCCATTCCAGACATTTAAGTGTTGACAGATTTTTTATAGCCTGTTTTATGTCTTTTTTTCATGGAAAAACGGTTGGGAAAATTCAAAAATGGTTGAGAGAATTTATTATATACCTCACTTAAGAAATCCAGCCATCTGATTGGTCGAAATTGCATTCATAAACTTCAACTATTTCTGTAAAATTCCCAGTAACCATGGTTAAAACAGTTCTATAATCCCAGTAACCATGGTTATTGGGAAAATAGTTCAGTCTCCATGGTTACCCCATAGGTTTACATGTTAAAAAATGGTCTGAGCGATCGAGGATACCGTACGTGTGCGAAGAATTGGTCGGTAATTTCAATACAATTGAATCTCGATCGATCTTACCGACAATTTTATCTTGCATTGTTGACATGAAGATGAAAATAAACTTCCAAAAACAAAAAAACAACATCTGCCGATAGATCTTGATCTAAATTCGTGCCAATATGCATTGCAAAAGTAAAAGAAGGGCCTGTTTAATGGAGCAGCCGCGAAGCATCCACCACGCGAAGCCGTTTTCAATTCATTTTAATGTATATATAAGAAAAAACAGCTATGTATGGTAACAGAGCGCGATAGCCGAGCGGTTTAAGGCGGTGATTTTAAATACATCACCTTTTGTACGCAAGAGATCGAATCCCATCTTCGACAAAAGTTTGTTTATTTATTTATTTTTTTATTTTTTTTTTTTTTTCCGGCATATAAAAGTATTAATGACTGCTTTAATATTCGAGAAATAGTTGTTTTTATACGCTCTCGGGAAGGTTACAATTGGGCTATTGCCCTCGGTACGCCTCGGGTAATAGCACAATTCTAACCTTCCCTTGAGCGTATAAAAACAACTATTTCTCTCAAAGCAGTCATTAATACTATACTATTAATCACTGTTAGAGGGTGTCATACATCGACTCCTTCAAAGAAAAACATAGATAACTTCGTGGTTTGAGAATTTTTTCAGAAATTTTTGCATGTCAGAGGGTTAGTACAGTAGTAGGAAAATAGTAAGTAACATTTTATACAAAAATTAAGCAATTTTTTCATCAACCTTCAACAATGTTACCAAGTCATTTTTCATCAAATAAACCAAGAACCAAAATAAAAAAGGCACCTGTTCATTGTTCATTGTTGGTTAATGCTGTGTTGAAAAAAGAAAAAACAGTTTTGAAAGTGTTGCTGAATGGAAAAGACAAGCACTACTCAGTAAATTAAATATTTTAGAAGTTCCCCCATGTAGCCTGTTCCTCTGTACAAGTTCTTAAATAATGATTTTATTATTCGTTTTGTCTCTTTGACCTACAGCCTGACCCAACGGCTAATTTGACCTTTAACTTGACCTTGAGTGAATCAGAGAAGAAAGCCAGAGAGAATGTTGTCTTACCTTTCACCAAAGCATCAAACAAGTGAGTGCTTTTGCAACATTAAAGACAAATGCTCAGCCGTTTCCATGTGGAAAAATAGCAATGAAAACAGACATACTAAAGCTTTTCGCCTTGTCCTCAGTGGAGTAAATCGCAAGACTGAATAGAGAACCAAAACCATACAATATGAGTATAGGCTAAAGTAACTATCGCATGCTGGAAGCCGTGTATACTGACCCGATTATATGCCGACAGAAACTCAAAACTAGTGGATTGTAAAAGAAAAGTCCATTCTGAGTGATTGTTGACATCCATTTTCAGGTTAACAGCCAAATGGTGTGAAATCCCTATGTAAAACCTGCAGTTAGGTGTCTTAACCAAATTGCCAAGTTGTGTATTCACCTGCATGTCGTATTTGTTTATTTTATTTAATTTCCAAGCCTGATAATTACCTGATTTAAATGGGTTTTCTGATTATTTTTTTTCCAGATTTTTTTTTTTTCCTCAATTTTTTATCCTTCCCGATTTTACCCCTTTTTTTGCCTGTTTTTCTCCTTTTCTCCCTATTTTTCTCTTTTTTCCCCTAGTTTTTCCCAATTTTCTTACTGAAAAGTTAGATGCCATTTTTTCCTTTTTCCTTTTTTTTTACTCAAGGAAAGGAGGTGGTTGAGAAAAAAAACACCTATTCATTTCATTCATTAAAAACCAAAAAATATATAAGGTAAGAAAATACATTGTACAGATTTGACAAAGAAGATTCATACTGAATATAGGATATCGTTGGCTGTAGGCTCACAGAGTGTATCATAAAAACTTTTGAAAATACTACTGTAACGTTATAAGAGAGGCTATTTTCCCACAGATGAAAAGGTATGAGTCCAAAATGTTGAATTTATATGAAAATATAGTTAACTTTCTTTGAGAGTGCTATTAAAATTGGTATTTGACATTTGTACCACACAGCTCAACAACAGGATCAGGTCAAATCTTCTACGAACCTGACCAGGCCGACGACTACGACGACGAAGATCCAGACGATGATCTCGACATCTAGCTCAACGACCTTAGCTTTTCTTACCTTGATGGGCCCTTTCAGAAAGGTAGTTGCAATTCCTGCCAAATTTTTCTTCTCTGAAAAGGGTATTTCTTTGAGTTTTTTTACGACTGCAGAACACCACACCTTAATCCTAATCCTTACTGTATTCCTGAGCCTATGGTCCAAATCTAATTCTAATCCTATCCCTTAACCTAAAAATAATAATAATAGTAATATTGATAATAATACCATTCTGGTTTTTCTATTACCCGGTATGCTTAACACATCGCATATGATTCTGAGCACTCCTAAACCTAACCTTATCCCCAACCCTAAGGCATTGTGTGGGGGTTCTGCAGTTGTGAGTTGATTATATTTCTTAAAGCATGTTTTTGTGAATGTTACTCAGGTTAGGGAGCGACATGCCCCTGTTTTTTACAGTGACAATATTTGTAATGTTGATGAAATGCTATTCATCACAGGACTTTGTTCTTCCATATCTTACCAAACAAATGCAATCTTGTTTTCTTGCAATTTCATCGTTTTTGTTGTCCATATAAGGTATGGAAATTTTTCGTATTGAGTTTGTACATACATTTGTTTGTGTATACATTGAATGTATATAAGGACTGTACATAAATAACATGAGGACTGGACACGTACATGTACATGTAATCAGTTTTTTTTTTAATTCATCAAAAAGAGAAAAAGAAATACCCTATGAAAAAATATATATCACTGATTGATAAATTTCTGTCAATACATGAACTGAGATATAGATAATGGTATCATAGGAAAAAATGTGCTACATAATCTCAGCTATGGTGTGCATAAATGGGCAACCTGAAGAAAGCGTCCCTACAGAAAATAACATCCACCTTGCATTTCAAAGGAGTGATATTATACAGTGCATCCCAGATAAAACAAACCTGAGAATTCTTGATGTTTTATCATAACTTAATCACAATTATAATTAATAAATGACACATATTTGGAAAACTTAGATCCTCCTCTTTCATTTGATGCAACTCATAATAATGCATATTTCATGCATGAGTGATTAAAATCAATTTGAAGAGAGGAAACCGAAAGTCGTTTGGCGGGCGGTATCTGAATTTCAAAGAGTTTCTGCCCTTTCATATGACACCTCATTCAGGAAAAATGATCTAGGAATAACAAAGTTCTGTTTGTTTAAAGTAGTGCTTGCATACTTGCATATTAAAAAAAAATTAATGAAAAAACACTTTACACAGCACTCATCTATCTCTTAATGGTATTTCCATTTTTCGTTTTAAATACAATATACCATTTTAATATGATTGCTATAATTCAGCCCGTTTGAACAAGCATTTGAAAATGTGCTATCTAAATACTTTATTTAGTAACATTATTATCATCATCGCAAAGGAAATGAGCACTTCATGAAATAATCATTCTTAATGGCTAGAAAGGTCAAGAGTGAAAATTGCTTCCGATTTGGAGTATTTGTCAGTCTCTTTCAACAACTCATCACTCTTCAGGAAAGTGTGTCCTTTTTTTTTTTAATGCAATAAAATGACTAAAAGCTAAGCCTGAGATAATTCTTGCTGGAGTAAACGAAAACGTGTTCTGTACCAAAATAAAATCACATCTAACAGGTTTAGATGAATCTGAAATATTTCTATTGTTCTGATACTGCCTATTGGCTTGTAGTGTCTCATCATCTAGGCCCCGTCTCTTAAAAAGAATTGTAATTGGTCAGTATTGATCGCAAACCCCCAATCAATCGCAAATTTACGCTATTTTAAAAAAAAATTTTAGTGTCAATAAATTTGAATCGATCACAACTCTTTTTAAGACAGGGGCCTTGGATGTTTATTTTTCTTCAACCCTTTGAATACTACGTGTGAGATGAATTGATATTAAACCCTTGCAACATACATGCTAAAGCTGACTGTAGATTTATTTAATGGGTTTATATGATTTGTATAAATGTTTTATATACTTTTTAATTTTGAGTCAATGCCATGAAGAAGTAGTTAATGCAAAAGTACCGGTAATTGATTTACCTTTTAACATTTTCAAATAATTATGAAAGTACCGGTACTTGAATACTTGAGTACTTGCAACATACATGCTAAAGCTGAATGTAGATTTATCTAATGGGTTCATTATGATTTGTATAAATGTTTTATATTTTTTGAAATTTTGAGTCAATGTCATGAAGAAGTTGTTATTGCAAAAATAATTGAATTACCTTTTAACATTTTCAAATAATTATGAAAGTACCGGTACTTGAGTACTTGCAACATACATGCTACAGCTGAATGTAGATTTATCTAATGAGTTTGATTTGTATAAATGTTTAATATTTTTTTTAATTTTGAGTCAATGTCATGATGAAGTAGTTATTGCACTAAGTACCAGTAATTGATTTACCTTTTAACATTTTCAAATAATTATGAAAGTACTTGAATTGTTTATAAGTTTGTCTGGGAGTGTTGACAAAAGATATTTCTGAAAGACTCGAGAAAAGCAATCGGAAATGGAAAAAAAGCCCACTGTTCTTTTTCATTGAGAATGATTGGAACACTGCATTGGTAATAATGTAATATTGTAAAGTTGGGGTAATTATATGATTGTAGGGCCCTCAGGGAGAATAGTATTAATACTGATGAGGCTACCCTGCATAAACAAGATAAATGATTTTTGTCTCGCCTGCGTAGCAAAAAGCGAGACATAGGCGCCGCTTTTCCGGTGACGGCGGCGGCGGCGGCGACGGCGACGGCGACGGCGACGGCGTCAACATCAAAAAATTAACCTGAGGTTAAGTTTTTGAATTTTTGGTATAATTTTTAAAGTATAAGTTCTTAGTCAATGAAACTTTGACTATAGGGTAATCAAGTATCCCCAATCATGTGAGTAGAATTTCAGATCACAAAGTCAAGGTCAAAGGTCATTTCAGGTCAACAGACTTGGACTATGTTGGAGCATCATCATCGAAAACTTAACCTAAGGTTAAGTTTTTGAATTTTTGATATAATTTTGAAAGTATAAGTTCTTAGTCAATGAAACTTGGACTATAGGGTTATCAAGTCTCCCCAATCATGTGAGTAGAATTTCAGGTCACTAAGTTAAGGTCAAAGGCCATTTAAGGTCAACAAACTTAGACTTTGTTGTGGCATCAACATCAAGATTTTCAAAATGCTTCTTCTTCGTTATTTTTTCAACCGATTTTGATTCTGATTGTTTCATATGATAGGGCTAGGAGGGGATTTAAAATTTCTACACAGAATCGTGAAATTCATTACCTATGCTAATTTATGCAAATTTATTCGAAATCACTAAAAAGGCTTCTTCTCCTTCATTTCTCGACCGATTTTGATTTGGTTTGCTTTATATCGTAGAGCTAACTTTGGTACACTAAACTTCTACACAGAATTTTGAAATTGTTCTCCATTAATTAATTATTGTAATTTATGCAAATTTATTCCAAAAATAACAAAAATTGCTTCTTTTCCCTAATTTCTTGACCGATTTTGCCTTATCTGGTAGAGCTAAATTTGGAACAATAAACTTCTACACAGAATTGTGAGATTTCGCTCCATTGATTATTTATGGTACTTTATGCAAATGAAATGAAATTATGTCCCTTCCAGGGCATCAAATTTCTATTTTTTGACCAGTTCAAAAGTGTACCACATAAAATTTACGATATTTGTTGTTGTGAGATGCGGATGAGCGCTACGTCATTGACGTTCTGGTTTATCATATTGAATTGCGTTATGCAGGCGAGACCGCCGAGAGCGTTTCCCTTGTTATTATTATTATTATAATAATTAATGAAATTATTATTATTATCACTGCTGTGTCTAAACAACTTGAAACAAGTAACTCTAAAATAATAGATGTCATCCTTCAAATGAAATTCAGTGGTAGATATCCAGGATTGTTTTAAAGGGGGTGGGGCACAAGTAAAAAGAAATCCTCTGACAAGAAATAATAAATGGACAGAAAATATACTTTTTTTAAAAATAGTTTTATGTTTTTAAGGTGAGTTTTGGAGTGTACATGTAACATTGCTCCCCCTCCCCTCCAACTGCCCCACGTCTGCCTCTGAATTTCATACTACAGTGTGTCCCGAAAAAAACTATACACTTTTGAAATGGCTGTCGAATAACAAATATATGATTCTAGGGGAAAAGTTATATATGTATGGAAAGCTCATATACTCAACTTTCATATGACACCAAAAGTTGCGAAAATAATTCATGCTCGGGTGAGCACTGCTCACTTTTGTAAAGGGTATGAAAATTAGGTTGCGCAGGAATTAGCCTTCCAATGTGTGAGAGGTAAATCCCTTGGAGCTTACGGAATTGAGGATGATATGACCAATTTATGATCAATTGCGATGAGTTTGGGTTTGCTGAGTGAAATGTTTGGTTTATGGGATTAACATTTTATGCATGAGTGAACAGGAATTGCATTTTTTTATTGTAGCACTGTAACTTCCCTGTTAGACTCAGTGGTGTGTTCATGGGAGTCAGGATGGGGTGATGGTACATGTTGTAATTTCCATGTTACAAACTGTTATTCTCTGTGACTTTGAATAAAAACCTTCACCCCACATTTCAATTATTGTAAGATTAGTTGAACATCTCATTGATTTATTCAATACCCAGGTAGGGATAATGTAAATCGAATATTCAAATACGGTTTGTTGAAAAAAGGAATGTCCAAGATGTCGGCTACTTATTCTTCAGGTAAATGGTAACTGAAATGTGGGGTGAAGGTTTTTATTCAAAGTCACAAATGTAAAAAATAACAGTTTGTAACATGGAAATTACAACATGTACCATCACCCCATCCTGACTCTCATGAACACACCACTGAGTCTACTAGGGAAAGTTACAATGCTACAATAGAAAAATGAAATTCCTGTTCCGTGCATAAAAGTTTGGTTTAATAAACCATGGAATTCACTCAGCAAATCATGAATTTATCATATCACCCTCAATGTTGTAAGCTCCAAAGGATTTACCTCTCACACATTGGAAGGCTAATTCCTGCGCAACCTAATTTTCATACCCTTTACAAAAGTGAGCAGTGCTCACCCAAGCATGAATTATTTTCAAACTTGTTGGTGTCATATGAAAGTTGAGTTTATGGGCTTTCCATACATATACAACTTTTTCCCCTAGAATCATATATTTTTTTATTCGGCAGCCATTTCAAAAGTGTATAGTTTTTTTCGGGACACACTATATTGTCACCTGCCTTGCAACCTTGCCTATATCACCTCTTAGGATTGATTTTCTAAATATTTTTTATCAAATGTTTGAGCATGTAAGGTATTTTCATAGTCTCGTAATATCCTTGTAATGTTGTATAAAATATAAAAAACTGATTAAAAAGTTGATCATGCATTTATAAGAATCTTCCAATACTGGAGGGATTGTTTGAACCGGCAAAATTAATTTTTTTTTTTTTTTTTTTTTTAAACTAAAAATCGTAACTGCTATCATGGATTACGCCTTGTTGATACAAGAAATTAGATGCAGTAAATTACATGTTCCTCCAAAAAGACCACTGCTGCAAAATAGAAATGACTCTAGCGCTGTCTGCTCCTCATTTGAGTATCTTGATAAGTATATTCGCTCATGGGTCTTTAATGAACTAGTTTTTTCACCAATACTTTATAATTGATATTCATGTATGCATATCAAATTATCTGTGTTAGCAGTTTTTTTTTTTGCGTTGTCTGAAAAAGGCTCATCTTGGCTGAAAGTTTGTCTATTTCCGATTAACAATTTTTTTTTCCTCATCTAATTTTTTTTTTAAATAATGAAACTTTTATACCAAAGTCAATAGATTCATGCACAGTCCTGTGATTTGATTGTATGTATTAGTTCATGAATGTACATATTTGATCATTACATGTAATTTCTACACATTTTGTTTTTACATTTGAAGGAATTAATGAATAAATGGATGCAATACATGTATATATTTGTTGT